GTTCTCACATGCCAGGAAATCTTATGAGGCCGATTAAGGGAGTTACCAGTTTTGTCGTTTAGGCACTGTTCTTGTTCTTTCAGGAACTCACGTGACTCAATAGGTGGTACTATCGACGAAACTGTTTTTCGCTTACCATCAATAAGTTCATTGAAAGACGTCTTCACACAGTCTATTTTAACCAGTTCCCCTTTCAGCGGCCTGACTACGTAATCGGCCGCCAATGCGTCAGGATAGTGGACTTTGGTAACCGTGACATATCTGTAACACTTTTGGCCTACATTTCGAAAATGCCATTAACTCCCAATTTTTGAGGTGCTGGGTGGCCTTAAGATAAGGTCCAAGTCGTTTGTGAGACTGTGGTGAGGTGGCTGACGACGTCAACGTTCAGGGACTTGGTAGCCCCAACAGTCTCATTCTCCCGCACATATGGCGTACACGACAAACTTCGCACCTAGTGAGCTCGTCATTGTTTTGAAAAGCTTTCAAACAGTGTGCGACACGGGAAAGAGGGAAAACCGCACGCCAGCCATCAATCACACAAATATTCTTGCTGGTAAGAACCGTCACTCAAAGAAAGAATCGCCCTATTTTCATCCAATTACATTACACTCATAGAGCGTCACACCAGCTTCCGGTTGGTTGGCACTTTCTATCGTCTTTGCAGCCAATCCGTAAACTTCCCGACTTCACCCTGAAAGATGGGGGACAATTGGTTTGAATTTTAGGAAAACCATGTTTTTTGTACTTACCAGTCTTACAATACTGACCGAACGTTGCCGCTATTACTTATGAAAGCACCTTTCCTCAGTAATAACGAACAAAATGGCCGAACGCTTCACCAACATATGAAAGCCCGGTTCACTTATGTACCGAACTTTGATCGAAATAACAGTGTGCTCGTTATTGTTTTAGTATTGATTAAGTAATATACCTTTGAGATAGGTCTTGTTCACTTACTTTGGGCTCTAGCATCTTCATTAATTACAGTACTTAGGGTGGCAGGAACTTTAAAATGTGGTAATGCAGTTAGAGCCATCAAATGCACCACGGAGTAGATGTCGTCAAGGTGAAAATGTACAATTCCAGACCAATCTAAGATAAGAGAAAACCGAGGAGAACACCGGTACCATAATAATCAGCTTGCCTGCAAACAGTTTATCAACCTCTATAAGGTTTGGACCTGAACGGCCCTGTGAAAATGTCTTGGGTATTTTCTCTCCTTTCAGTCTTTTCTTGATTGCACAGCTCTAGCCAATCTTCGGCTGCTTAAAATACAATTATTATTATTTTTTCCCGTTGGGTTCCTAGTGGGATGTGGAGCTTCAGTAGCACGTCACCACTTCATTCTCTTCTCTCCAGTATTTCCAACATGGCTCCACCAAGGAACACAAGCTTCCATTTCTTCCCATCATGATCTCGACCATGTCGCCCTCCCCTCGGATGCCTAACTCGCCGTTTCCCACCCGGGTTCCACTTGAGGACCTGACCTGACGCGTGATGTCTCCCAATCGTCTTCTCAGTGTACACCATCTCCATCCATCTCCACTTACTTCTCCATATTTGTTGGGCAATCGCCTCTTACTTGGTTCGTTACCACCCAGAGTTCCTTGTTGCTGATCACTTCTGGCCATCTCATCTTCAGTATCGAGCCAGTGAAGACAGCTGTTGAATAATGTCTGTAGTTTGTTGGAAATGGTTTTCGTGATGGGTCAAGTTTCTGATCCATCTAGCAGCACTGACTTGACTGATAGTTGTGTTGAAAATACAGACCCTATTCTTTGTGCTGAGTGCAACAGATCTTCACACGGATTTCAGATTAGTGAAAGCCTGTCTTGTTATCGCTCCGATCCTGGCTTTGACATCCTCATCTGTCCCGCTGGCCCCTGTAGTTGGAACAATGCTACCTGCCTAGGTAGGTGGGTAGGTGGGTAGGTGAAAGAGACTACTTCCTTCAGGTTTCTCTCGTTGATGGAGATTGGTGCTTGTTGTGGTGTTGTTGTTCGTTGGGTATCTTCATCACCCCCATCTTCTTTACACTCATCCGAAGTCCTGTCTTCGCCACCTATTCTGTCAACTTGTAAGTTTTCACATGTAGATCTTCTAGCCTGTGCAACATTAAACATATACCGTCGGCGAAATCCAAATCCTCTACGGTCCTTTCATCGGTCCAACCAGCGTATTCCCATCTTCTCGCTCCTCACAGTTGCCTGTTGCACGATCCAATCCAGTCGACCACAATCAGGAAGATCATCGGGGACACTAGGTGGCAGCCTTGTCTTACTTCTTTCCCCCATCTTCACTTCAAAAGCATCACTGAGCTTTCCATTGTGAATCATTCGGCATTTAGCCTCACCACTTAGCTGTTGAATGAGGTTGATAAAGGTTTCTGACACTAAAACAGTTGTGTAGAAGCAACTACTAAATTACTTCTCGGTCGACGCTGTCAAAGGCCGGCCTTTTCAAAGTGGATGAGGTTGAGGTAGAGAGTTGACTGCCGTTCTAAGCTCTGTTCTATGATGATGCGTATTGTTGCAATTTGATCCCCACATGATTTGTTCTTCCTGGAGCTGGCCGGCCAGTTCCGTTCACACTGTTGAGTCCGGCGCATCTTTTAGTTTCTCCAGGATGATGTGGCATAATATTTCGCTTGGGACGGACAGGAGTGGAGCGTGATTGATTTCCATTTCTCAGGACCGCTTAATGTAATGTGCGAACGGCGAAAACTATTGCTCAGAAACCCTATCGATCGCCGGAGCATAAAGGTCAGCTTTCTAACATGTATTCTCTTCCATGAAGACGTATAGCAAGCAGGCTGAGCCACAAGCGAGGGTGTCATTATCAATCCTGAGAGTGCAGATCAATGAATACCTTTTGTACGACAATCAGGCCGTCACTCAGATTCGAATGACTGCGCTACCTGATGGTGGAAACCCACTGTGAATAAAAGGTCGGGTAAAATGTTTGTTAGCTGACAGGAAATTCGACAGTGAGCCATTTCATGGGACGGACATTTCCCAATAATCGGAAGGCACATTGCATATACTTCATACGAAAGTAAAAAACAGATGTAGACCATAGTGGAGATATTAATAGAGGCTCTGGCAAGACAACAAATCGAAGTACTGGCAAATTCAGTCTGATAAACGAGAGATTTGCGCCGATACTCCAGAAGGTAACTCGAAGGCAAGATACACAAGCATCTGGCGTTTACTTTGTGCATGACCGTAAGACTTTTCTGGAAACCAATCTCAAGACAATTCAGTATATCAGATTTAAGTACTTAGAGATTAAAGGTAGTTTAGAAATGGTGTATGTAACCTCAGGGTCTAATCACTAGTTTGTAGGGGACTGGATGTGATAATAGTACGTGACATCTAACCAGACCCACTGAACTGGATGTGCTCAAGCACCTGCTTAATCAGTACCTTACCTAACGTAAAATTACCGATAATGAAACAAATCAAAAAGACTTGGTCATTTGGGAGAATACCTGATAGCATATCATATTCAAGTGGAATAAAAGTGGAGGTGATTTTTGTCGAAAACTTTTTATTCAACTTATCTGACAACTAAGGCTGGGCTAGTGATTCTGAGAATGTACAGCTGGTCAGCGCAAAGGGAGCCCAAAACTGGCCGCTATGTCTGCTTGGATGCGTACTCGTCAAAACAAAAGCTAAAACACCTTAAGCATTCGGTGGCTATTTGGAAGCCTGTCTAGTTAATATTTTATGAGTTCGGTCTTATCTATTTATTTTGCCCCTGGCTGCATTTTGGCGCCAGGGAGGTGCACTACATGTAAGCCCCCTCCCAGAAGAATTTTGGGACATAGGCAATCTTTGATTCTAGAAGGCAACTGAGAGGCGGATAGGGGCCGTGTTGGTCGCCAAAGCTGGTGCGGATATTGGACTTACGAGGTGACAGAACTTTGCGCCCAGGGGCAACTCTTCTCCCTATGCTGGCAAATGAACCGAAGCCTCCGCCTGTATTTCCCTTACGACCATTACCCTTTGGGAAGAGTGTACAAGCGAAAATCGGCACAAAAAGAGCTTCCTAAAAGACCTATTAGGGTATTAGAGCTCTATTATGAGGCAAAAATAGAGCACACCTGAAAACGGTTAAGCAAATTTTCTCCAAGAAAATTATACCACTCTACACGGGCTGCAACAACTTCATTCATTGTCAGAATGCTTTTTGCTTTCCGAAAGGCAAACGTATGAAAAGATATTTTGCTTACGATACTGGCTGTATAGGCTTATAAGGAGCCATTAGCATGAACAAATCACTCACTAACACATATTCCTCAGCTGAAAGCGTTCAGTGGTAGACCATATCTCCTTTTAGTGCAAATAAGACATGTCAAAAAGGTTGACAAGTATATTACACGTATAAATGAAGAGTGGAAACTGGAGCGCCGATAAATCTACCGAAATACGATTTGATTATGACGCATACCCCAGTTAAAGATGTAAGGTAATGAAACTGCTGCTGTAAACGAAAATGTTGACAAGTATTCATAAATTAGTGCTAATGAATACCAGTTGAATTGCTCCCTTATCCACGAGTCACCACCCGTGACAGGTGATAAACAAGGAAAAAGGATCACATAATATGAAACAATCAGAAGGGCAGCGTACTTATTAGCATGCAGTTGAAGATAGCGCGAAGGAAAGCGTTTGAAAAATTATCTGGCAAAAAGCTCTAGCATGCGCAACTTGAGGGTTTAGCTATCCGTCATCACAACATGAATGAAGAATCTTGGTGGACTATGGGCGGTTGACTACAGGCAAAAACCAACTCTCAAAGGAATGAAAGTACCCACCTGCTCCTTAGCTGATGATTCATTAATTTTGCGTCAATTCGTTCATTTTAGACCTAGTAGCACTTCGGTATTAACAGGAAGCATTAGTAATTAACTAAATACTTTTGCACTGCAACTTGAACATTAAAAATGGGTCGATGTAGGTATGATCGTGATGTATCACTCAGAATCCGTCACATTAAAAGAGATTCAAATAAAGTTCAATCGCAAAACCCCATTCTTACAGGCACACCTAGAAATTTTATTCTTTTATGTAGTTGATATTTTTCAGTATTGCAGCTAAACTGACTCCAGCATGAATTTCGAAGTTTGTTTAATCTCATCGAATACACTTAGGAGTATGGTTGCATAATGCCGCAAAAATTATTCAAGATGCTAGCTTTACGTTCTCGTGTTTGCAAATTCTTTTCTAGGTAAGGAACTGCATATTCTCCCGAGTAACCATGTTTTTTAAATAACCAGAAACATCTCAGGATGGTCTGATGGTTTACGTAAACAGTCAAAATTATCTGAAGTGGTCTATTCTCGAGAAGATAAATTTGGAGCGCATAATTACCACCCATTGCCGGTGGCTTTATCGAAAGGCAAAGGTATAAAGCGATTTTCTGCTTATGTTCCTAGGTATATACGTCTGGGATGTGGATGGAAACTGCTATATAGACTTCTTGAGTGCGTATAGCGCAGTGAATCAAGGCCATTGCCATCCACGTATTGTGGAGGCTCTTAAAACACAGGCAGAGTTGCTGACTTTAACTTCGCGTGCATTCTACAGTTCTGCTTTAGGAGAATTCGAGGAGTTAATCACTAAGATGTTTGGTTACGATAAAGTTCTGCCAATGAATACAGGTAACGTCAACAGAAATATTTTATTTTCATAAAATGATAATAAACACTGAGTAATCTATTTTATGCTTTTTAAATGCATAGACTCTTGCATGTAAAGCGGAAATCCTAAAGAATTGAGGTGAAATTCATATAAAAGATTCAGATTTCCAATTTTTGGATACATAGTTATTCACCTTTAATAATCCTCTTCTATTGGATCTCTGGGTTTGTCCAGTCTACTTTTAAACGAATTAATTGATGATGCCAACACCACTTCTCTTAGGAGTCGGTTTCAGTGGTTGGTCACTCATCACTAGAACCAGTACTCTGTAAAGACTCCGTTCGAAATCAGTCTTCCTATTCTTCTGCTATGTCTTTAGGTTATTTCAACCTGGTGAGAAGGAAAATGTGGGATGGATGAAGTCTAAAGTCATCGCTTAAAATCCTTTTTAGAATGATTAGATCTCTCCTGTCGCTGTATCAGCATAGGCAGACAAGGTTCACCTCCTAAAGTTGTTCTTCGTAGATCAAACTAGTCATCGCAGAGATCATTCGAGCAGCTGTCCTTTGAACTGTTCCCAGAATGTCTGAGTCTACTGCTGTCAGCATCTCATGAAAGATGAGATTGCGCGCAGTTCCAATGTTTTCATTTTCTGTTGATAATGATGATTTTCTGTTAAGTGCTTCATACGTTGTTAAAGCATTCTATTTAGTCACAAATTTTATGGAATTAACTGCATGAAAATAAACATGTACGTTTGTAGCATCCTTTGATTGACTTTTGAAGATGTATATCACTTAACAGGATTAAAATATTAGTGGTAATATGTTTTACCATAACGCCTAACATTTAAATTAAGGGATCTAGTGTTTTCCATCACGCAATATCTATTTTATTATCTTGTGAAAACCACTTTATTTCTCCTCACTGACTTCTAGATCTTGCAGAAGTCTTACAGATTTTCGTCTCATTATTCTTGGTTTGCAGGCAGATATCCATGAGCAGAGTTTAATCACTTTCTATGAAGTCCATGTGATTTTCTAATCCCTTCTTGGATGAATAAATGAATCAAATCCAAGTGTTCGTCACTTTACGTGAAGAACTAGTACTTCATGGCAATATCGTTCATTGTTGGATGTCTTGCTTTTGTTATATGTTATCTGAGGTGTTCCGACTCAATAGGAAGGAGAGCAGAGAGGTCAGATATGAAGCCATTTCTTAAATCTATACACAATTATAAGGTCTCTACTGTATCTAAAATACAATAAGAAGTTCAACTTTGAAAGCGTTACTTCTAGGTGACTCTGATTTCATCCTGTAAAGCCTTCTAAGAGGGATTTAGTCACTTTCTGGCAGTGACTTGCAACTGTATTGTTTCCCATTTCGGAGTTATTGAAGATTTTGTAATGTTAGGGATATTTTACCAATGATACTAGTTAAGGTTTAATTTATTGCTCAATGTCCTGATATTTTAAACTGCTTTTAACTAGCTGTATGCTGGCGTTTTTAAGTAGTGACTTATGACTATAAAATGTTATTCGTCAGTGTTGACAGTAAAAGAATCCTACCAATCTCCGTGTTGCCGTTTGCGTGCACTACGTGTATCAATACGTGTGTTTTTGCATTGACTGGCATAAATCATTCCTGCAACAACATTCCGGCTAACAAACTGTTGAAGCCTGTATGCAACGTGCGAGCGCCATCTCTGTCGTCTGGTCCTTAAGAGTAGCACTTAAGAAGCTTCGCAGCTTGTAAATGTGATTTTGCATCGAAAGTTAATGTAAGTCTAAATATTTGTTATTTCAGAATTTAGTCACGATCGGATAATTTGAATGTCTTTAAAAGACTTCACTGAGAAGAACTTCGGCATTTCGAACATTTTAGGGACTTTATCGGTGAATTTATTTGTATGCTATTTAAAAGTCTTGAGTTTTAATATCTGAGAATGAACGTATAGTTTTCTCCTGGAAACTTTATTCAGTACCCGGTTTTCTTTCTACAGTGAAACAAATGTTATTTTAATGAGGATCATGACTTTTGTACCTTGGGTTCAGATTGATTTTACAAATAAGTTTTTGGTATCAAATGGTTGCACTGTTGAAATACTCAGTATATAAATGGCATTACTCTGCTACTTTTTATATTCAGGCGTTGAAGCTGGTGAAACTGCTCTGAAGCTAGCGCGCAAATGGGCTTACAAAGTTAAAAAAATCCCTGATGGACAAGCAAGAATAATATTTGCTGAAGGAAACTTCTGGGGTCGCACTTTAGCTGCATGCTCTTCATCTACAGATCCCACCTGTTATTCAGGATATGGACCCTTCATGCCAGGATTTGTAATTATCCCCTACGACGACTTGAAGGCTCTTGAAGTAAGTAGTTATTATCATAATGCCGAATATAGTGGTGTAATTTGCTTTAACAATGTTAACTGAAACATTAGTGAACGTTTTATATAGGCGCTGATATAACTTGCTTCAGTGGCATATTTATATCTTACTACATGAGTTGTAACCTTTTATCTTCGTTGTAATAAAACCTCTTTTTTATTAGGGAAGGTATGCTGACGGTTATGTCCAGTGTTATCGTCTGCCTTCTGTGCATTCGACATTTAGGTTTGCAGGATCTCTGATTTTTTTTCATAATAAATTCACTTTCCACAAGATCTGTCCTAATGCTAATACGTTCAGTGGGTTTGTTGCGACGATATTAGTTTTCATTAGATGATAAAATATTAAAGATGGTTAATAAGATAGCTTTGAAAATCAAAAATAAGCAAATATATGGAACACATATTACAGAAAATTGTTCGCAGGCTACGTGACTACTGTAAATTGAGTTAACTAAAAAGTGCACTAAGGTATGCTTATTGTTTTCGTTATTGTTAAGAAGGATTTGGGTTTTCTTAGCTACTGTTTGGAAGGTCGGTCAAATAAATTGTTAGAGACCTTGCTCTATGTTGCCTCGGAATCTATTAGTGTTGAACTGATGCACTGTTTATCAATGCTCAAACCAAAAACATTCAATGTCTCAACATTTATCAAAGTCAGTTACAATAGCACAGTGTATTCACTTTTTATCCCCTTCGAAATTTAGAGCATTTCACAAGCCTTCATTTATTCGTTATTTCTGCTACAATACACTTTCGCCTACTCAATATCTTACTTCTTTTGTCTACTCTTTCTCTCTCTCTCTCTCTCTCTGCCTACTGCTATAAATAGTACTAGCGAGTTAATATACATTTACCTGGGTTTCTGTCTTGATTAGTTTGTCTTGTTATTTGTTTTAACATTTTTGCTTCCATCTCTTATGTGCGTAAGTGTAGTTTTGATCTCCACATCACAACCATCTCTAAATAATATGAATATAAAGATTTAGGAATTAGGTTGTGGGATTTACATCATACCACATTTCAACTGGAAATGAATTAAGTAACGTGTATACTTAAAGTGGGCAGATATTATTTTCATTGTAGTAAAGTACATGTTAAATAACACACTGAAAACGTTATTCTCACTACTGGATTCCTGAGTTTCCATTACGATTGACTAACAGCCCAAAGGCAACAGTATGATCCAGTTTATTATTCTTTTGATTAAACTTTGCCTTGTTGGAACACATTCCTTGCTAAGGATTTTAATATATATCTCTTTAATATATTTTTGAGAGGAGTGGGGATTTTAATTTAGAGGCTGTATTCATCATGGACCAGTGTCACTTGGAGAACCACTGAGAATCTGGGAGCATATGACAGCTGTTTCGTCCAAGTGTAGGACTCCTCAGCAGTACGCACTCACGAACCGGCCAGGGATCGAACTTAGGACCTCAGGTTTCACGGCGAACTCGTTAACCATTCGACTATCGAGTCGAATTTTAGCGGTTCACAGTTTCCGACTTCTGTCAATTAGGACTTCGTGATAACCATCTGGAAGCATGTCACTAATGAGCACTATAAAGTAATGTATGAAACCTGAAGGTTTTGAGTTCGATCCCTAGCCGGGTCGTGGGTACGTAGAGACGAGTCCCATACTAGGAGGAGACAAATGAAGGTTGATTACTTATACTTAAGACAGGATAATGATCAGTTTGCATATGAAATAATTTAGTACATCGAATTAGTAAGCGGTATAGACAAAATAGATGGTTAGAACGTCATTTTCAAATTTAACTTTATCAACAGTGTACCAAATTTTATTCATGCAAAACGTTAGTGTGAATAATGAAACACCTGCAAGATGTGTTCTGAAAAAATCGAATCCTGCAACGACGCAGATTTTTATTTCATCTTCAATTATCACACAGTATCAATAACACAAGTCTGCTGAACGACGACTATCTCAGATAATCAAACTGATAAACAAATAATGTGATCACACATTTACTTGTCAAGTCAATTTATATATGAAAATTAAAGGTCAAATACAGTGATGTATTTGCGCAATACATTTCGAACAATCTGATCTGTGAAAAGGTGACAGTGAAATTATATATATATATATATATATATATATATATATATATATATATATATATATATATATATATATATATATTTCTGTGGTCAGTTTGTAGAAGTGTATGATATCCGCATAAATAATAATAGCCGGTTCAATGGAATTAAAATTGCCAGCCAATATAATGCTGATCACTAGCTAAAAGATTAAAAAGTTGATTAACATAATTAGTGATCCTGTATCAATTTTTAAGATGTATTTCGTAAAAGCATTCATAAGTCTTTAAGTAAACAGTGAAATGCAGCTACATGGAATTCGGCATAAAAGTGGATTACTTTAGGTTGTTAAACTTTATAACAGTACACAAATAAAACCAACAGCAATAAAAAGGTATTGAAGTTAACCAAAAATATATGAATAGACATGGAATAAACAACTACAGGAAGATAAAGTGTTTAACAATCAGAACAGGGTGAAAAGTGAATGTATGTCCACTGACATAGTTCATTTTAAACCTTACCACTCAACCTTTTAAAATACAGATTTTTACCACATGAAGTAATATCGTAGATTGGTATCATGTTTTCATCTGACCACCGTTCAGCCTCATATCGACTAAATTTTACTCAAACCAGTATCACACGTTCATTTGCTCTGTAACTTAAATACACTTGATTAATTAAAGAGGTATGACAGTAGTTGACACTTCGCGGCCCCCTATACCATTGGAGACTTCTTTTGAAGTATTTGGAAACTATGTAAATTAGTAGGTTTGGTATTTCACTAACGCTATTAGAACATGAAGATTATCTGAAAAATGTGATGTGTATTTGCGCAATACATTTCGAACAATCTGATCACACACTTACTCGTCAAGTCAATTGATATAAGAAAATGAAAGGTCAAATATAATGAATATGAAAAGGTTGTGACACTAGTCTTGATAGTATAATCAGATGAGAATTACCAAGGTAAATTAAGTGAAACAACAAATTGTTTTTGTACGCACAGTGGGGGAGGGGGGGTAAATTTACAGTTTATAGTAAACTTAAGTTTTTCATTTTCATACATAAATTGACTTGACAAGTAAATGTGTGATCAGATTGTTCGAAATGTATTGCGCAAATACATCACATGTTGTTCAGATCATCTTCATGTTCTAATAGCCTTATCGAAATTGATTAAAGGGACTAATTATTTCAAAGGTTTGGTATTATCAATCTGGGAATGTAACCATGGAACCAAAAGAACGTCTGCTTGAAGCTGATCACACCTTGCTATTTCTAAGTCGGATGATTTAAATCTAAATATTTTGAATTTGCACATGGATAAAACTCTGACACTGGACCCATACCTAACTAGTCCTTGGGGGAAAACAAGATTTTGCTACTTTTTTAAGTCAAACCTTTCATAGCAGCTTCAATTCGGAATACTGGTCACTCTTTGGAAATACCTTGTTGTCATCAAACTATGGAAGCCAGTAGTATTACTTTGCTCATGAAGATACCAACAAAACATATAACACAGCAACTGTGTGAGTTTGAGTTCACTGCATTTATCGTACAAAAGCTAGTATTACTATCTTGCTGCTCTAACATTGATAGGGGAAGAGAGTCTTAACTCGTAACTCATTGATCGATCGTCAGCTGTTGAGATGGGTGAACTTAGGCAGCCACCAAAGCGATTTATTTACACTACGAAGATAACTACTGTTGGTCTTGTTGCTATTCAGATGTTTCTAGCATAGCGCCTCATTAAAACCCTTTTTAATCAACGTAACCCTTTCGGTCAACATGATATTCACACCGAATCTTAGTGTCAAGGTAGCGCATGTCGGTTGAGTGCTGTAGGTTACCAGAGGTCTGTTGACCAATCCAATGGAGTCCCACAAATGCATCCATTTGTATAATCGTGTTTTGCCCTCTGGGTTGAGATTCAGTTGAAAGTACTTTGAATTCCTTCTCATTACAAGGAAGATCTCTCCAATAGTTGTAACTTCATCATTTACTCCTCTCAATAACCATGTTTATAAGTCACAGGTTAAAGAAGAAGCAGGTCGGTGCCTAGTTTGCTTGCTGTTTTTATACACTATGAGGCTTTTTGGTACTCTGCTGTGAAGAGTACATTGGTAAATATCAAAGGAACCTTTCCTATCATGCCAAGATTCATAAGGTAGGCATTTGCACTTATGACCTGTTAACATGGAGTTAGATGGGGTACGGTTGTCTTTGGTGAATACTAGTGCTATCACAAGTCAACTTATTCTCACTCGGTTAGGGTTATTCATTAATAGTTTATATTTAACTTAATGAAAACGTTAATAATAGCTTACTGATAAGTACCATTCCGAAGACACACTCTCCTTGCAGGAGTATTTCGCTTCATGTTTTTTGTCTGTCAGACATGTGAAAATCCATTCTTCATCTAGAATATGTACTCGCATTTCTTACTGAAGGAATCTGTTTTCTTAATGATGAAACTAATTCGAAGTTTTGAGTGTGCGTTCATATGACTAAAGGGTAAGGTGTACTTGGTTTCTATTCGGGATGAATTGGCGAATAATATAACAGAGATGATGAATGGTGCCTTCTACTGCTTATTATCTTTTGTTCTTGGTTGTGACCGACAAGAGGATCTGAAGGAGTTGTTCATTCTTGGGTTTCTATAGTCGCAATATCATGCCATACACTCACGATCTATGTTGTGAGAAGAAATATTGTTCTTATATTCCTATTCTTATATTGAATGTAACCTTGTTGTTGATATTATTGATTGAATGCATTCACTATTATGTTCTTGCTGCAATTATCTCCACGTATTTTGAATTATGACCATGTAGAGTATGCATTTCATTTTTAACAGGTCATATTTTAAAAGCTACTTCTATTTGTACAGTCACGTAGTTTCGTTCCTCCTCATCAGTTGCTTAAACCTTTAAGTTTGTGACTATTTTCATTGTCCCTGGTGGGCGGACCAAATTGACGTTGATTGACTGGTTTATAGAGAAATAAAAAATTTTGACAGGCGTTACATTTACTGATATATATATATATATATATATATATATATATATATATATATATATGGCAACGTCTTTCTCTAGTAATTAAACCAGCTAATATAGTTTTTTTATGGATAAAATACTTGAAGGGGAACAAACATCTGAATAGTAATAGGATTTAAGTTCTTAAAAAAACTAAAAGTCCACTGCTTTACTAAGTGGGCTAAAAGATTTTACTGTTAACTAAGAATAAATTCTCTGTAGTTAATGGCTGTTGTGTTTGACATCACCTGCAGTCATTGTCCATGTATACATAAATCAGTCGACCAGTGAAGTTCATCTGTAAATAGTTTAGCGAATAATAAATTATTTCTTATCTTTGATACTACTTGATATCAAGGCATAACATTTAATGGCTGGGTTTCAACACACTGCAGCATCAAACTGATAAGCAGTGGTTGTTGCTTTTTGGCTTAAGTTTATTTACCACTTAGAACTTATTCCAGATTATTAGCATTCTTGTTTAGTCTCTTGTGAATCCCTTTGTATTTACCTTTATATGTGGTTGGTAGTGTCGTTCTACAAGATAAGGTTGATTTCGAAATACTTGCGACACTTACATTGTGGTTAAAAAGTGCAATAATTATCTTCTAGGCTTGCATCTATCTTGACCATCTAAGAATCATGAAGAATGTTAGAAAAGTAAACTTGGCTCGTAGCAGTATTGGAACTGACAACCTCCTAGAATCTCTTAGCTAAAGCTTTCAGAGATATTCTAATTGATTAACCTCCTATCTCCTCAACCGGTTTAACCTTAGGCAGTATTATGAGATTCACTAAGCGATGACCACCAATAAGTAACACGTGTACCAGCCAACTAAGTTGATGGAAGTCTGCTATTTCAAAAACTGATTTATCCCTCTTACTCAGTAATTTTTGACCTACCTCCTCAACACTCAAACAGTGAGTCTACCATACTTAAGGAATTCTACTTTTAAGTACTTCCAGAGAGAGAAATGTCATATTTAGTTTACCTTTCCTATCCAAGAACCCGATTTCAGTGCAGATTTGAATTAAGTTACTGATTTTTTTCTTTTTTACTATATTATCTTCATAATGATTAATGCCTCTCGTTTACATATTGCATCCAAGCTTTTCCATGCGACAGTAGATATGGTGTCCAACTTCATTCTTAAACTATAATACTTCTTGTTAGCCAAGACGTGAGGCAGTTGCACGAATGTTTCTTTCCTTTATCATGTTTATGCAAAGTGTGAATTATTAACTCTCTAACAAAAGAAAAAGTGAAGATCTTAACTTAAAATGATGAAAAAAGAACTAATATTCTTTGGTTGGAACAGTCGGCAAGAAGCCCTGGACCTAGATTTCGTACTTGTTTACACTCGTAAGCAAGGCTTACCTGCAAACTGAAACAAACTGATGTCACCTCAGTGATTCAAACTCACATCACCCAGTGTTGCAGTCTAAGACCTTACCACTGAGGTATTCGAACAGCAGTTGACCACCCTTTATGACGATTATATACACTGGTTACTGAAGATTAATCAGTTTCATATTACTTAGTCCTGAACGCTGACCCAACTCCGTCGACCATTTTGCAATATGCTCACTAAGCTAGGAAAATTACCATTGCAGGGAAATTCGTTGGTTAGGTGATGGTCTGGTGATAGAATTTGGTCAGCACTTAAGTTTAAAGAACATAGACTCGGTTGCCCTGCAGTGACCAATCAATGAATGAAGAAAGAATATAGCCGTTGACTTTCGCACCATATAAAGTACTCAGTACTGCTATATCTATCTAGGTTTCACCATAATTTTACCAGCGATTCTTTAATTGAGTTAAATATTGTTTTTCTAACAAACCTATTTTACGCGGTGGTTACGCTTTCGTAGGACTTTTTGTAGTGAGCGAGCGGACATTATTAAAGACTTCACATGGTACAGTTTGTAGTATCCTGGTTACAGCATCATAGCTGAGTCTGCGTTCAAAGTCATCTATACGACGGAAACAAATTTGTCGAAAATGATACGTTCCCGTCTTCTTTGTACTGCGAAAGCTCATGCTATATTCATGGATAAACCGGAATTATGTGTACAAAAGAAACTTGTTACTACCTTGGAAGCGGTAAACAGCTAAAAATGTCAACCTCTCTCTTGATGCTCACAATTTTGTTATATTATATTATATATTTTAGTAACCCAACATTGTCTTCATGGCTACAATTTTATGATTAATTTTCCTGAGTGTTTAACTCTCATAAAATAATGAGTTAGTGGAAGACGATGTAACCTTCTGTCACAATGCACAATTATTATCATTATTATTATTTGTCCCTTGGATTCCTAGTGCAACATAGAGCTTCAGTAGCACGTCTCCATTTCACTGTGTTCTCTACAGTCTTTTGAACCCGCTCCACGACTGCCCAGAAGCTTTCATTTCTTCCTCACATGACCTCCTCTATGTCACCCTTGGACGCGTAACTCGTTTCTCCTTTGGATTCAGCTCGAGACCCTGACCTGGCGCTTGATGTCCCCAAATGGTTTTCTCAGTGTATCTCCAATCCATCTTCACTTTCTTCGCCACATTTGTTGGGTAATAGGTTCCTGGTTGGTTTATTCCCACCCAGAGTTTCTTATCGCTTGTTCTTATTATTCTGGACATCTGATTGATGTTCAGCATCGAGTGAGCATAGGTGGTAGCTGTTGATGAATGTCTGAAGTTTGTTGGAAATGCTTTTCGAATGACGCCGAGTTTGCGAAGCATATAGAAACACTGACTTGACATTGATGTTGAAAATCCGGATGTTGTTCACGCTTTATGCTGAGTTGAATGGAGTAAATCTGCACACTGATTTCAGGTTACTGAAAGCCTATCTTGTTGTCTTTCTGATCCTGGCTTTGACATCCTTATCTGTGTCGCTGCGCTGCCTGTAGTTAAAAGGATGCTGCTAAGGTAGAGTGGTAGGTGAAAGAGACAACTTCCTTTAGGTTTTTCTCGTTGATGGTGATTGGCTACACTTCGATGATTAATTTTTCTAAGTATTTAGCCCTTAAAATAATGAGTTAGTGGAAGACGGTGTACCCTGCTGTCACAATGCACAATACAGGCTCAAATTAATAATACAGTATGCTCTTCCCCAAAGTCCGTTTACGCTTCCTCCAACAACTGCCGATGAATGTGATTAAGAACTTTCAGTGAAGCATCATTTCATGTCATCTAAATAATTAACTATATTTTACTCTTTCTTCTAACTTTTACATACTTCTTCAATTTTATTTCCTCAACAACTTTTCTAGGCTGAATTAAAGAATCCAAACACTTGTGCATTCATGGTTGAACCAATTCAAGGTGAAGCTGGTGTTCGTACACCTTCAGATGGTTATCTAAAAGGTGTACGGAAATTGTGTACGCAGTATAATGCATTGTTTATAGCCGATGAAATTCAGACTGGATTAGGCAGAACAGGGAAGTAAGTTTGCATTCTTCATCCTCTTTCTTTCATCATAATTGTTTAATATATATAACAAGGGTGTTTGTGTCAAATGTTTGTACTCACTGTGACTGACTGTTTTTATTATTGTTTTTTAACATCTGCATTTCTTTTAGTGTAAATACATGAGCATTAATATTGATCTCATTGTGATAATTTGTTCGTTAATGACAGGGAAATAAAATCAACAACAAATGTTTCAGTATTCAACCACCTTTTCATTCTCTGAAGCCTTTACTGTAGGTATCAGACGCAACTACTCCAAACATACGATGGACTATGCGCCTCTTCATTTCATTACCAGTGTCCCTTTAATATTGGCTGCATTAAATAACGGTACTGATTAATACGTACTATGTGTGTTTAGACGTGGTGAGGGATTGTTGGTCTACTACTGAAAATATCCCACAAAATACTAGTTTCGAGGCAATCAAAACAATATCCACATTTAATATTGTTTCCTAACCATGAGATTAGCTGATAATAGTTGAGGCTAGCACTGATGATTGTACTGCATTTGCCTGGTTGGTACCAAGCGATTATATAACCCATATCCTGCTACACACAACTGTGAATTGAAGACAGTAAAAGTTGTATCATAGCTTTTTTTCTTGACTACAATGGAGACGCCAAAACTTGTAGTCAAAATAAATTCAGTTACGACTACTTGTTATCTCTGGAACTCTAGCATACCTACTGGCGGACGGTACGTGCTGTTTTTCCGACCTGAAGGAGGTATTTGACTCTGCTGACCGTGGGATGCTGTGGCAGTGCCTGGCTGCGAAATGAGTACTCAGAAAGTACACAACGCTAATCAAAGCTTTTTACTGGGACTCACGCATCTGTGTAAAGGCTTATCAAGAGTTGTTATCAAAGTTAACAATAACTGGTGGTGACTCTCAGAGATTTCCATTGTCACGTTTCCTATTTAACTTCGTCATAGGCTTACCAATAGACATAACCTTCGATACGTCTGACTTCATAGGGATCGGCCTTTTCTCTGGTGGTCATGTAATTGACTTCGAATATACAGATGGTTGGGCCTGCTAGTTGAAGACGCTGATAAAATTCAGGGCCTCGTGAACACGTTGGGTAGAGATCTGAGTTTACTTGGCTTGCGTTTCACTAGTTTATGTCAGTTGTAAAATGATGCTCCAGGACTGCTGCGCAAACACTCACAGTGTAATGATAGGGAATGAAGTGGTGGAATGTATTGACTACTTCGTTTACTAGGGGAGTTGCCAACGTGAGTTATCTATGGTGTCAACTAGCGAGATATCCAACTACTTACCGGTTAAAGGATGAGTATACTGCACTGCATTGCGTTCTGCCCTGTTGTGCAGTTGTGAGACATGGCCATTAAAGGTAGAAGATACGAAGTGGTTAGAGGGTTTTGATCATAGATGTCTTCGTAATATTGCTCGCATTTGGTGGAATCGCCATGTGAGCAATTGTGAGGTCAGACGAAGGATTCTTAGAAAGAAAGACAAGTCAATTGATGAGGACTAAAGGAATCAGTGGTTGATGACTCTTGGTGACATGGCGAAAATTTATTCACTCCTTGATATAGCTTCTAAACCTGGAATATTTTGCACTAACCGTTATCTTTCAATCATTTATTGTCTCAAACGACGTTGTCTACTTTGATATAACTTTTCTCATCCACCCTTTTTTGTATACTACTGTGAAGTGTGGCAACTTAGACCGATGTAGTTGTGTGTGAGATTCTACATTGATTGTGTCTATCTATGTATTTTTGTATCCTTATATGACCGCTTGCTTCACTCTGATCATGCATATATTTAATCTTTTCTGGCTTTTTTTTAATCTTCATGAGTTCATTGTATTTTATTTTATGCTGTACTTCTATTGATTTCCGGGGCTCACCATAATAATAATAGTCATTGTTATTATTACTATTATTATTAGCAGTAGTAGTAGTAGTAGTATAAATACCATTCGTAACACAAATAGTTATACTGGTGAAATACATCAATATATATGCTTGTAGTTGATAGCACTGTATAAGTTAATCATTATCAGTCACCCAATAGTTCATAAAACTATAATATTCAAGTGAAATTATTATGTAACAAGTTTTTTGCAAAATATGACTACATTTTCATATTAATAAACTGATTAAAACAGTAGTACATTCAAATTTGTATTGTTCATATCTTTGTTGTTTTTCTCATTGGCTGTTTATACTAAATTTATTCACGTGTAGAAAGTTTATTGTTGAAATATATTTTACTATTCAAAATAACTTTTAGTATCTCTTTTTATATGCTTTCAATACGATGAATTGAAATTATGGATTTTTGTGAAATAAACAATTTAGCATATTTCAAGTTGTTATTCATCGAAGACTGACATCAGTTGGAGGAACAAAGGAACAATGGTAACGCGCTGGTCGCGGAACCTGAAGGTCGCGGGTTCGATCCCTGCTGGTGGGGTCGTGGGTGCGCACTGCTGAGGAGTCCCATACTAGGACGAAACAGCTGTCCAGTGCTCCCAGGTTTCCTTTGTTCCTCCAACTGATGTCAGTCTTCGATGAATAACAACTTGAAATATTTCCAAATCTCCACAACCCCCTCAAAATTTAATTTAGCATATGTTTACATCATAACAAATATATGGTATGGTTTTGTTAAGATTACTCTCATACTTTGATCTTCTGACTATTCTAAAGAATTATTTACAAGTTATATGTTCCATGTTAACAATTTTCATGAATGAACAAAGGTAACTGCTGATATCCGGCATGTTGCTACGTAAGCTTTACGCGGCATGATAGTCATGATAGTCATTATTTCGCTCAAATAAATATAAAAAAGTGTTACAATAAGTGAAGAAATTCGTAAAAATCCCCATTAAAATTATTCATTCTACACACGAAATAATGACCAATAGTGTCAGTCATGCTACACAAAGCTTACGTGACAACATACCGGACGCACGTTGCGTCCTATATGGGAATCGTCAACTGGATGTACCTCCATCCATTTGAGGGGTATTTTTCCCACTGAAACTCGGGCCCAGGACCAATGGGTTCAAACTATATCATCAAAGACTAACCTTCTAGTTTGGATATATGTCATGAAGTGACATACAAGAAAGCAGTATACCAACAGTCCATATGAGTGTGTATATTCATACTAATCAACATATCCTAGCAATCTAATCTATCTTAACCTTAAGCGACCGCTTAGTTGATTTGACTGTAGCAGCCACCTCAGTCGATGTTTTACGCTCTCGAGATCATCACCTGCTTCGATGCTAAGTGTTATTTTAGAGGATGCGCAAGACCGGTCACCTGAGGATGTGTTTACATTATACATCAGGCCACAAACAGTTGGTGTCAACCATATAAGAAGTGTAGACCACACTGTTGAAATCATTGTAATTTTACTATATGGTGCTTGGGGATTCCAGGTGATATGGAAAAATATTAATCACAATAGGGCAGATACACCTAACGCTTTATCACCTTCAGGAATTCACATATCATAAAAATCTTTATAAAGTTGTTCTCTTCGTTCTTGTATATTTTAATTGCTTATTTTACTATCTTTTTAATTCACTTGGTTTCCTTATTAACTGCTGTTGTGGAATGTGTTGTCTTGAGTAACTGTACGTTTAGGCAAGGTTCCATGGCAGTTTATCTGTTCCGTTAAACTAATGAACTACACGTTTGTCGTGTATTAAAACTCTTCCTTGATCAATGAATATTGCACAATTAAATATTGATTTTGATACATATAACCCTTTTTTTTCTATGTTTCCACTTCATTCTGTGATCATTCAGAAAACTTTGTGTCGATCATGAAAATGTCCGTCCTGATATCGTTTTATTGGGAAAAGCTTTATCCGGGGGTGTACTACCAGTAAGTTAAAAGAGAGTATCTTTTATATTTAAAATGTTTTCTCTCCTAATCATTGTTAACCAATAAAATCATTCAGGACTTCGTTCAACAACGTTTCGCTTCTGCTATAAAGTTGAATTGTTGCCAGTTGTCAAAATGGTTTTATCCTGTGTGTGTTTCGGCGTTTTTCTTCAGTTTGCGGTATCCTCTTAATATAAGTTTCACAACCTGGAGTATGATTCACTAACATTCAGACTACAACGAAATGGTTTTCCATTTTAACACTGCAGTTTTCTATGAGTTTTACTTCAGTCTTCTGTATCTCTAGTTGAACGATCGGATGACATGAAAGATGTCTACTGAAGTATGTAGTCACTGTTAATCGCAGTTCATCAATAGCTACATAAATATTCCACTAGGTCTTTTGAATTTGATAACCGTACTAGTGTATGCATACGTTATAAAGCAAATTTCATCATTGCTTTGCTAGTAATAATCTTACTCCTTCAAACATTTTACCCACTATAATGTAGCTTACTCAAGTATCATGTACTACTCCACCATATTCCTAAGTGTTGTCAAGCCTACATATTTATGATCTATGTAATTTGAGTTAGTTCCTTAGTGCAATATGTAGCAGTTGTATCTGTATATCTTATTGTACGATACTCACTCGATTCTGCTATAGTGTGGAATAAGATTGCTATGATCTTCATAAATACCCCTAAATCCCTAAAGCTTTATACAACCAACCATGTTGCACTGAGACTTCGAGAGAAAGCACATGAACCGATATATGAATATCGGACTAATTGAATAGACAAAAAGTGTTATTTGCTGGTGTTTAACCAACACCAATGGTTAAAAACCTTATAAGACACAGAATGAATCGATAGCAGTGATGCAAAAGCATCCACAGTCTGTCTGCATGCGAATCTGATTATCTCATTTTCCTTATTGCCTAGTTAATGTGATTCTCCATTCTTCTTCTTGCTAACTTGCTTCTAAATACTAGTGAAGCGAATTGGTTGAACTAACAAGCAATTTTATCAGATGTAACCCCCTGTTGTTGTTACATTCGTATTATTATTATTATGGGGTGATAAATATTTACAGCATATCATGCATAAGAAGCCATTTTGTCTAGCTATCACTCTACTGTATTAAATATGTGCTGACACTTAACACTATCTGCCAAAAAATGTGGTAAAAGTTTCACCCGTGATATCGTATGAATTCCTTAGGCGTTGTAGGCCATCTGTAGAGTATATATGCATAGCATTTACGCTCAAACGTACCTAATTCATTAAAAGTGATCATTGCTAGAGCATACCTATTTCTTTCTTGATATAATTGTAAATTTGTGATAAAATTATGTATATACATCAAGAGCTTCATGAATAAAATTTATCATCAGATAAGATCATTGCACATTATAAATGTACCCTTTTGCACGTAATTAATATCATGCTTGCTTCACTTTATTCTTCTGTAATTAATTCAGGTGTCAGCTGTTTTAGCAGATGATTCAGTTATGCTGACTATTCAACCTGGTGAACATGGTTCAACCTATGGTGGTAATCCTTTGGCTTGCAAAGTTGCTATGACTGCTTTAAAAGTAATTACCTGTATTCATGATTACCTGGCTGTTCACTATCAGCGTATACTTTTATATATTTCATAATGCATACACTTGTTGTAAATTAGAAGCTTGACAGACATCAATTTAGTATTGAAATCGATGGGGTATTGGATTTGATATTCAGTCTTTTATGGTATATCATCCGATGAGCTCCAAATACAAGGGAAAACTCATTTCTTACCTGCAACCCGCACACAACTGCATAGGTTCAAGTTGCCACACTTTACAGTAACATGAAAAGAATAAGTGGATAGAAAAAGACTGATATCAAAGTACATAAAGTTGTGTGAGACAATAAAGGACTGGAAGATAACGGTTAGTACAAATATTCAAGCTTTAGACGATGTCAAGAAGTGAATAAATTTTCGCCACTATGACCCCGATTTCCAGACATGTCACCAAGAGTCTTCAACTACTGATTCCTCACTTCTTGGGGACCCCAACTAGGTAGTCTGTATCTCCTTACAAGGCTCATACCATCAGTCAACGACTCGATCACGTGATGCCGTGTGTTGGTTTATTCACCCTGAACCCTCTGTTGACCTCAATCAATTTCTGTTAGGATTTTACTTTGAGGTAGATGGTGGCTCAGCATGTGGAGTACATGTCCAGGCCATCTCAGTCAATTTAGTTTCACAACATTTCATATCTGAACATAATGAACAGCCAGTAGTTGAAAATAATAAATTATTCGTTGAGAGCAAGGATACTTTTTTGTTGATGATCCAGCCTATTCTTAAGCATACAAGAAGTTATGCTAACTGACTTAGGAAACACAAACGTCGAAACCATATTAGGCATCTGTTATATTCTCTCGGTCTCCTCAGTACTTCAAAAACACTTGTATGCAGCGTAATGATAAATGTTCCAAATTAGGAAGCTAAATGATGTATATGAACATACTGTTAAGGTCTTTCCTTGTGGCTTTTTAAATATGACCAAGTAACATGACCTGAAATATTCCATTACGTATGAATTTGCCATAGTGCTTGATTGTTCGAATTAATCCAGTTGTATTGACTCAGTGCAACTAATTTAACTTTTATTTCTAAGTAGGAACGTCAAAGATAAATTCAACTCACGGTGTAGAACACTAACCTATACATTGTAATTAAGTTGAAGTGGTTTTGAAGAGCAATCATCTTCTCAATGTTGAATTATTTGTTGTCTATCTAGTAGTAAGTTGAAGAAACCAGTAAAAATAGATAAAGAAAGGAGTTTAATGCAACATAGAAATCTGTTCGAAATTCATGTTTTCTGTTTAAACGCATGTATTATTAATTTGTATTTTATATCTAGAAAAGGTTGCAAACTCTCAGCGTATATAACCTCACGTTATTGTATTGTTTTTTTTTTCTAAATATTCTTCTATTTCTCAGTTGAATGCGTTTTTGTGTTATTGACAGAGATGTATTGACTTCATGGGAGACCGTAAAAACTTGTCCAGTATTCATTTGTTCGGCTAGTAATAGAGCATATGAAAAATGGTGAAAAGTTTTTTTTTAAATATTCTAAGACTTATTCAAGTAGAACAAGAATATTGCTAGTACTCATAGTGGAATAAAGGATAAATTCAATTTTCAAGCAACCATTGAATTAATAGAAGGCAATTCAGCGACGAAAATTTTCTTTTCGACGAATCATTTTCAAAAGCTGTGCATCGCAGTCATAGTTAAAACAAAATATATTTATTCATCAATGACTAATGGGTTAATACAGAGTCATCAAAAACGTCAAATAAAATTACAAGGTGATAACGGTTAGAAGACCAAATCAAGGTCATCAAAAATTCCTTATAGGATTATAGTAATATAAACACAGAGAAGAATAAACCATCTTAACACAAAGAGCAGACTTGTAGTGTTGGATTGCCAGAGCTTCGACTATATTTAAGTGGCAAATACTTACTGGCTTCACTTTATAAATGACTTTGAAAGAAAACTGTCATAGAGCACAGTGACCAGAGATAACCGAGTGCTCAAGAACCGAGCCGTTGACGGCTTTACACTGTCCTTTAGACAGCCGTGCAGAATGGTGTTAGGAGATGCGTTTGGATAGAAAGTGGTTTGTGCGGACTATGTAGCCAGCTCCACAAGAACAGGTGAATTGAATTACTGTTTCTACAATTCCTTTTAGCTCGAAACCTTTCAGTTCTACTTAAATCCTAACAATCTCATAGGTTAGTGTTATGATTTTGTTTCCCTGTGCAAGAAGGTATTTTCCATTGCATTTTTATCCCAAGAAACGCACCAGATAGAGACATTTAGTAGCTGAGGGTGCGGAAAATTTGCTGTGATATTCACATTATACTTTTTATCCTGTTAGGTCATTGGATATTTGTCAGTTCCTATCAAGGTTATTACTAATAATACAAGGATTTTCTTCACCTATATATCTTGTGTTGTATATTTCACTTTCACTTCAATTAGGTTCTAGAAGAAGAGGGATTAGCAGAACGTGCACAAAAATTAGGCGAAGCCTTCCGTAGTGAGCTGAGTAAACTTCCAAAGTCTGTTGTTGAGTTATATCGTGGAAAAGGTCTTTTGAATGCCATTGTAATTCATAAGGGTAAGTAGAGATTTTTATCTGGTAATATGCATTATTTCCTGAATACAATTTAGTTATTTGTCAGGAAGCCTAATTTTTTGAGATGAAGGTTATACGGTAGAAGGAAACAGTGTTGAATGAAATGAAATCGACTCAATAATCTTGTCCATATAAATGCAGTAGGCAAGGAGCCAGACCTATAATGGGAGGACTAATGATACTACTGTCTGACTGGACAAACTTCGGTAGTTAGGGTTTGGGTTCGAACCTGCATTCTACTGGTTGAAAGTCATCTCCCTAAACCCATGAACCACAACTCCACTTTGTGGGGCTGTCTTGAAACTCCTGAAGGTAACCCTAGAAATGAAAGAAAGGAATATCTTTTGTTTTCCGATTGGTATCTGTGTGTCATTTAGTACCGATTAAGCAATGATAATTATTTCAGCATTACTTCTATTCAATCTTCATAGACTTGATTTCACTGACGTTACGAGGCACACTTATGAGGTAGACACATGAAGTTATATTTGTTGATTTTTTCTGAGGGATAACCTTAAGTAAAAGTTTTACTGATACTAGACAGTATTAGAGATACAAATTCTAGAAAGAAGTGAGTTATTTGGATTTCAAGTTGGTTGATCACTGAACAGCAATCACTTTCACTTAGCCTATTACTAATTGCTGATCAAATTCTATCGATCATTTTGCAATTTGGTCACCAAGCTAAAAAAAATCAATACGATTCACACTGGTTGCTTTTAGGTGGTTGAACTTTTGAGCAACTGATAAGTGTGGCTGCATCAGTGATGGTCAGTCTTCCTTGTCGTTGGTTTCCCCGTTTAGTGTTTTAAGATTTTGACTGTTTACCCAGAGCAGTGACTTACTGAATTAGTCACTTCAATCTTCATAGACAAGCTAACAGTTTCGAACTTTACTCAACATACTGAGGTTTGATAAGAATTCAAAGCTTCACCCAACAGATTCATATCTCTTAGTACATCGGCCTGTATGGGTAAACATGCTTTGTGAGACTCATTGGATATAATGGGCTAGTTCACAAATACCTGCGATAAGTGTGACTCAGTAGGTAAGCATTTAAAGTAGTTTCTGGGTTACTTTACGTATATGTTATGCACAAAATAAATAAGTGTCATGTTAGTAAAGCGATGGTGCTCATCACTTATGCGATTCCTAACTTGGTGGTTTAGGGAAGTATGAGTACATGGATTAATTGATATGATTCACTTTTGAAAGCACTCTACGATTTAATATTGTGGATTCGAACAGTGACATAATGACCCCCCGCTGAAACGTTTAGCTATTGCTCGACTCGGCCACTAGTATTTGAGAACAGGGCACAGCAGAAGGAATCAGAATGCCTTTGTACTCAAACCGAAGTGGTGATTATATCGGGAAAATTTTTATGTGTATGTGTGCGTGTCTAACAGAGTAGACTTGCTAAATATCTACTTTCCAAGGAAGCTATTCAAGGCATGAATGTAATTTAGCGGGAGCTCAATTTTTTCAGAAGTTTGTGAGAAAATGGTTTGATTTCCAATGTTTTTAGGTTGAAGTTTCTAGAAAGAACAAATTCATCGTACAATATAATGAAGTAAAGAAAGGTTAAAAAGACAGAAGGAAATGGGAGGAAATCGGATATTTCTGTCATTTATTGAACAAGTTGCTGTTATACCGTCACCTTATTTAATCTTAACTCATATGTTCATAATCACTTCTTAATTATGAAGGTTGAGCTATAACAACTAAGTTTAGTGAGCTAATTTACAGACAGTTAAATGCTTGTTGTTTTCATTGTTCATTTGTTGTCTAAAAAATTATTATTATTATTTGTCCCTTGGGTTCCTAGTGGAACATAGGACTTCAGTAGCACGTCTCTATTTCACTCTGTTCTCTACAATCTTTTGAACCTGACTCCACGCCTGCCTATAAGCTTTCATTGCTTCTTCACACGGTCTCCTCCTTGTCACCCTGTTGTCTAAAAATAACCGTTCACATTTAAAATGTCTTATAGCTATGGTTTTGAATTGTTATGGGTCTCCAATTTGAAATTTATTTATTATAATGTCAACTATTGAAAGATCAATTCATGCCATAGGTACACATATATTAGCAAAAACTCATTATAAGCATATACATTTAAGGAGTTCTATTGAACTTTCGAGGTATACTGGTGTGGCTTTTACATGTGTTCAGCAATTTTTTCAACTTCTTTAAGTACCTGGAAAGCAGTTGTCATAAAAATATAAAGATTTTCTTTTCTAGTTATACTTCACAAAGAGAAAGTGAATAGAGAAGAATTCCAATTGTAATTAATGAAATAAATTATCTGGTTTCAGTAAAAATGGTTTGAATCATTAAGCTTTCAGATTAATCTGTTCTTAACAGATTACTTATGAACTTGGACTGATGTACAGAGAACCGAAACCTTATATTTAGATTATCTTGATTCAGATACTGAGCTATAATATGATTATTTTCATCGAACTATTTAGTTTCGTTCGTGATGGAATATACAGTATTTAAAATATCTTTATTACTAAACTATTAGTATTTTCATCCTATTTGTCTTAATTTTCCACTTTATCTACTCTTTCTGTTCTTAATTTTAACTAGAATTTAGTGCATGGGATATCTGTATGAAATTACGTGACCATGGTCTATTGGCTAAACCAACACATGATACAATAATCCGATTAGCACCACCATTGATTATCTCAAAGGATGAGTTGGATAAATCTGTTGAAATTATACACAAAGTGATCAGTTCACTGAGTAAATAGAAAAACACAAACAACAAAACTTCAACAAAAACGATCTATTTCAGTGAGTTTTTATTCTTATCACTACCATTGTATAAAAAAAAAGTTAATAGTGAGTAACACCACAGAAGTTTTATAAATTATTAGCATTAGATAAATGGAACAGGACAATGCTAACACTGTGTCATCGTTTTACTTGACTAATAGCAAGTGTATCACTAGTGAACTCAAAGTAGCTTCAACCTGAAAAGCTAATTTTTTCTAATCTGTCTGTTATATCATTGTTTCAAATATTTTTATAAGATCCACAAGTTGATACCAGATTTGCACAACTGCGTAAAATCTCTTTGAGTACATCAAGAGATTTGAGTTAAATTATGTGATCTAACAGACAGTCGTCTCGATATCTAAAAGTGCCAAGATACAAGTAATTAGAGTCAATTGCTATTGCTTACACGCCAAATCATAATGGTCTACAAACTAACTAGCTATTTCATCAAATTCATTATTATTATTACTATTACTTGTCCCTTGGGTTCCTGCTGGAACATAGGGCTTCAGCAACCCGTCGCCATTTCACTTTGTTCTCTACAGTCTTTTTGACCTGGCTCCACGACTGCCCAGAAGCTTTCATTGCTTTCTCATATGACCTCTTCCTTGTCACCCTCGGAAGCTCAACTCGAGGGCCAAACATGGTGCGTGATGTCCCCAAATGGTTTTCTCAGTGTATCTCCAATCCATCTTCACTTTCTGCGCCATATTTGTTGGGTAATAGGTTCCTGGTTGGTTTATTCTCACCCAGAGTTTCTTATCGCTTGTTCTTATTATTCTGGACATCTGATTGATGTTCAGCATCGAGTGAGCATAGGTGGTAGCTGTTGATGAATGTCTAAAGTTTGTTGGAAATGCTTTTCGAATGACGCCAAGTTTCCGAACTATATAGAAACACTGACTTGACATTGATGTTAAAAATCCGGATGTTGTTCACGCTTTATGCTGAGTTGAATGGAGTAAATCTGCACACTGATTTCAGGTTACTGAAGGCCTATCTTGTTGTCTTTCTGATCCTGGCTTTGACATCCTTATCTGTGTCGCTGCGCTGCCTGTAGTTAAAAGGATGCTGCTAAGGTAGAGTGGTAGGTGAAAGAGACAACTCACGTTAGGTTTCTCCCATTGATGATGATTGTTGTTGATGTTGTTAGTTGGACATCTTCACCTCCTCTGTATTCTCTACGTTCACTTGAAGTATGTCCCGCCTTCCTTCGCTACCTCTTTTGTCAACTTGTTGGTTTTTGCCTGTAGATTTTTGAGTTTGTATGTCAAGACATCAGACATAAATCATCATTGGCGAAATCCGAATCTTTTCATCGGTCCAACCAGCGTATGCCCATCTTCTCGCTTCTCACAGTTTGTTGCATGATCCAGTCGACCACAATCAGGAAGATCATCGGTGATAGTAGGTGGAGGCCTTATCCTACTCCTTCCTGTCTTCACTTCACTTCAAAAGTGTCACTGAGGTTTTCATTGTGAATCACTCGGCATGTGGCGTCTTCATATAGCTGTTGAATGAGGTTGTTAAAGGTTTGTGGCACTAAAACCGTAGGATTGAAGCAACTACTAAATTACTTCTCTGTCGACGCTGCCGAAGGCCCGCCTTTTCAAAGTGGATGAAGTTGAGGTAGAGAGTTGACTGCCGTTCTAAGTTCTGTTCTATGATTATGCGTATTGTTGCAATTTGATCCCCACATGATTTGTTCTTCCTGGAGCTGGCTAGCCAGTTCCGTTCGTACTGTCGAATCCAGCGCATCTTTCAGTTTCTCCAGGATGATGCGGCATAATATTTTGCTTGGGGTGGACAGCAGCATGATGCCGTGCCAGTTCTTGCAAAGACTAATGTCTCCCTTGTTTGGGAGTTTGAAAAGGTAGCCCTTCTTCCAATCCATCAGCAGGTACCTTCCCTTCCTTCTGAGCCTTCTGCAATAGTGATGTGAGCATGTCCGCTGATGTCTGTATGTCTTCTTTCACTGCCTATGGAGGAATTCCATCTGGTTCTGTTGCTTCCCTGGATTGCAATAACTTTATGGCTTTCAGGAATTCGGCTTTTGTCGGAGGGTTTGTGTTCACTGGTAATTCTGTGGCTGGGCTGTTGGTGGTATTTCTGAACGAGTTGCAGGTGGTGGTCGAATCAAGAGCTTTTTGAAGTGGTCAGTCTGTCGTTTCCTTTGTTCCTCTTCTTTGATAACCAGCTGTCCTTCACTATCTTTCTTTGGTTTCACCTGCGTTGATCTCTTCCCAGATAGTATTTTGGTTATTTGATATAGTGTTGTCATGTCTCTCCCACCAGCAGCCTGTTCTGCTTCACTTTTCAATGTGTCATAGCAGTGTCTTTTGTCTTTGCGCTCACTCTTCTTCAGTTCTTTGTCCAATGTAGTGTTTTATAGGTTGCGTTCAGTTTCTCTAATTGTTGTTCATCCCTGCGCTGGTTCATCTTCTGCTTTACCATCTTCCTCTCCCTGCTCTATCAGCTTCCATGTGTCCGTCGAGATCCATTCCTTTTTATGTCTTCTTTCTTCCTAATATAGTTATGAAGGTTTCTTTCCACATCTCTTTCAAAGAGTTCGAGTGTTCTTCCACGGAGATTTCCTCAGGGATGTTGCTTAATATCTCCTATTTTGTCCTGATGACTGACTAATGTGAAGATGTCCTTTTTAGTTTTGTCCTCCAGTTTTTGAGTGTTGAACTTGAATTGTGGTCTATCACCAACTTCTTTGAAGGCTTTCAACTTGATTATGAAGGTAGGTTCCTTGCACTAGATAGTAAGTGGTGTGAACCTACATCTGCTCATCTTCTTGATCTGATCCTGTGTCCAGTAGGCTACGTCTCCATTTTCTTGAGATTGAAATGAAGTCGATCTGATTTTTGTTGCATGATTGTGACTTTTCTTCCTTTCCAGTTGAATCCTTCTTACTGTCATGATCATGGAGGAGATTGTTTCCCACTGCATGAAAGACTTCAATGCTGTTGGAGACATCATGATAGCCACTCGAAAACTCAGTATGCTTGTGGTTGTCGTCTGGGTGACGATATCGGAGTAGATTATTGACTCTTCAGATGAAAGTTTGGAGAGTCCACTCCATTCCATCTGGTTTCGCAGATTCCTAGCCTAGCACTTTTATGCTATACCTCGTCATCTTTTTTGCAATCTGGTTAGCCTTGCTAGGTTCATACATGGTGCGGACATTCCATGTCCCCACTCTTACTTTCACTTTCATCGAGAGAAAACACATCGGCCAATTGGCTTCTCGAAGACTTTCACCAACCGGCGTCATTTCGCCTCTCCGATTCCAGCGAGGTATAAGTCTGTTTTTATTTTTCGTATTTTCTTTATGCTTTGAAGTTTCTTTAGCTGTTAGAATGGTTTTAGGAGGTGGGGTTGCTAGCCCTATGCCCAACCTTACCTCTGTATCTGGGCTTAGGACTGGCTAGTAACTAGTGAACTAGTTAACTGGGCGAGGTTCATCAAACTCACGACAAATTCTTATTGTTTTGCCTACTATACATGATACAGTCCAAAAAAGTTCAAATTATCCCAACCGTCTGATTCTAATCAAATATAAGAAATACTGAAAAATACTGTGTTAAACTCTGCATTCCACATGCTTTAATTCCTAAATGAAGCCATTGTGGAATTATTTCACCTATAGTCTTTATTGTCGCATAATTCTCGTTCAGAATATTTAACAACAAATGTATATGCTAGGAAATAGTCTTCACCATTCATCAATAAAAACTAAAGAATCACTGAAAACCTGGGAGTACTGGATGATTGGTCCCACCTCTTTGGAAGGCCCTCAGCAGTTCACACCTGTAACACCTTGTAGGACCAAACCCAGAACCACAAAGTGTCGTAGTCGATGTGAGGCTTTGGTTCATTGTTCTAGGGAGTTGACGTTCAACCAATGGGTCACAGCTTTGAACACTGCTCCACTTAACAAGGTTTGGTCAACCAAGTAGTAGTATTATTAGCTGTCACACAGTAAGTGTAGCTCATTGCTTAATGCATGAATATGTACCAGGTTGTTTGAGTGGATTTTGACTTTTTTTTGTAGCAGATATATCATCAATCGCTATTTAAATTATAACTCAATATTTCGCTTTTCATAAGTGTAAATTACAACGTACTGTTAAGTATTAAAAGGTAGGCATTTTAGGATTAAAAACACGATATATGTGACACATATTAAATACAGAAATGTGGATCCTTGATGTAACATGTCCAACTCATCTATGTCAATGTTTCAAGGTGATTTCACTCAGTCAATATGATGTTTATTTTAGTCACACATGCACTCCCAAACCTATGAATCACTTGTAAGGTATTTCCTTTCGATGCATAAGCTCTTTCGGAGGGAAAATTGGTGGAACGTGCATAGTCATTTCAACGGTACGTCTTCATATGCATTTAGCATAACAGTCCTTACCAAAGCACTATACACCTAGTCTAAAGCCATGATAGTACCCAACGTTTTCAACATTTGCGTGTACCAATCTGATTTTTAAATGCGATTGTGAACAAGAGCCTCAGACGCCCCTTATCAAGCACATTGCCACTCAGTCAATTATCTAAATTGTCTTCAAAAGTAGCTTAGTCATCTGCCAACAAAGAAACAGGTATTTAATCTTGATACAAACACTTTCGGCAAACAAGTGAACTTCATGATAATGTTGTATTTGTGTTTCATTGTAAATTAGCCTTTAAATGAGTAGGAATACTACACTAACTACTTACAAAGCTTCAAAAAATATTAGAACAGCTACAGTTAGTAGTTATGCAGATCTATCTCCCAGCTTATCTTATCCCTGGTCATCAAACTATCACTCGTCAGAGAATTTGGAACACAACCTTCACAAGGTTTACACAAACACAAGAATCACACAGTGGTTGAAAATTCTTTAGAATCTGTTGGTCTGTGAACAGGAAACATGGCTTGTTTAGTTGTTAAAATAAAATTCTCTCAGGTTAGTTTCAATGTATCATCTCCAAGAGTGACTGTAGACATGAGTTTGTGCTCATCTTTTTAAAGCACACTGCACTTCGATAGAATGGCTAAACCTCAGAAGTGATGAATTATGGCCACCACTGTTTTAAACTTTATTGGAATTCATATTTTCATGCTTGTATTAAAACGGATACGCATCAACTCGAGTGTAAACGTAGAAATTTTATCGATCAGTTTCGTACCAGTATTAGATTAATATTGTTAGTAGTAGTACACAAACATTGTACAACAAGGGCACCAAGAAATGCGCCACACAAAGTAGTATGACAACATTGTGAAGACATAAACGATTGAAAGCGTATAAGTAATCAAGAAAAACAATCAGAATGGCATGATTAGGAGGACAGTCGAGTAAGATACATTCATAACAAAACATTTATTACTTTTCTGCAGAAGAAGGAGGGAGCTACAGTATAACCGCCACTGGTTTCGACTCTGGGCCATATCTGATAATGTCTCAAGCCACTGAGTTGCATGATCTCTCGGACCCCACCTATGGAGTTGTGATGTACCATTAGATGCTAACCTGATACAACTATCCTTCATCTACTGCTCCACGTTATGCAATGACCATCCCTGCGCTCCTACCATCCAGTACCGTTGCTAGCAAACAGTGAACGGTATGGAAGCCGTTGGGACGATATGCGTAACACATGTCCAGCCCACCAAAACCGGTGTTTCTAGATGACTTATCCTAATGAATGATGATCTCTATCACGCTCGAACACACGCCATCTTACCTCAGAATTACTTACACGGTGTTGTCACTGGATACGAGCAATCCTATAGAGACAACGATGATCGAACACATTGCACATCCTCAGGTCGGAGAGACTAGGTTTCACAGGCGTAGAGCAAAACTACTCGTAGCGAAGCGTCGTAAATCCGATTGGTGTATGTCACCCTGGCTTTCGATATGAGGTGAGAAGTTTCACCACCAGCACTCACATAACTATCCAGATGCACGAACTTCTCGACTACTTCCAATGGCTCACGATCTAGAGTGAGCGCATGCACAGGCTCTCGCCAATCTTGCAAGATTAATTCGCACTTCGATGGTGCAAAGCACATACCATACTTATGAACACTAACTGTCAACTGATTAAGTGGGATTTGAATAGTCTGTGAATTATCGCACAATAAGACGATATCGTTCTTATTTTATATTCAAGGTTGAATAGCCGTTTTCCGGGTAGTAAATCTACACCACCATAATGCATCTCCTTCAGAACTGTCTCACATCGGTATACGTACGCTCTATATCACTATTCATGTAGGTTTTATATTTATATATTGGTCAATCGCGTGTAGCTTTTTGTATCACAGATCAACCTAGAAACTTAAACTCATCAAGGGACCAAATATATCATTTTCTCACAATATCAAGTCAACATCTGTCATTATAATGAACCACCAAATAGTTATATACATGTATTACAATGATCATGATATATTATTATGACTTTGTTTATCCGAACCGAAACGTACTTTTTATTACATCCTGGTGTATTGTACAAAACACCATCATTTTAAACAAAAATATTTGGAAAACATATTTGACAGCCGCATGTTTTGGTCAGTAGTAAATGTCATTTACTCCAAAATTTTTGTGACTGCATAACATATATCCTAATGGCGGACACCTTTCAATGGATAGAAAGACCCCTCAAGAATCATTATTTAATCTGTTTTTCTAACTGAATATAAAGTTAAACAAAATAGTTTATTGATTATTTATTAAAATGTATAGTATACTGAGACTATTTTCTGTAACTGATTGTCATTAGCTAGAAAATTAATACCGAAAACAAATGCATGCGTTGATGATGAACAAACTGCTATATTCTACTCATTCAGATGTATGGCATCGATGATTAAGGTGATGTTTACATGGTTAGCAACTTGGTATTGTAGTTTAAATGATAGACGACCTGGTCAGTAATCTGGAGGCCACTGGTTCGAGTCCTGCCGTGACAGTTATTTTTGTTCTCTTTACAGCTATCATCTTGTATCCATAATACAGGTTTATCACACCCATAAATATCTTAGCTAGTCACCCTGACCAATAGACGCTTATGTTTTTAGAGTTCCCGGTTTAAGGTGAAATTAGTTCAACTGGAATGAGACTAAATCACAAGATTCTCTTGCAGTGATTCTTTCCTGGAATGCTACAAGCCAGTTAGACTAATTTGCTGTCATCAAATTTATCAATACGAAGTTAAACTGTATACACTACTAAGTGATATGAATGGTTTCAGATTACTTGCATTAGTCAGTAGTTTTCCATGGTCAGACAGAAGTGATCTAAACATAGGAGAGTTGTTTCATATTACTGTTCGGTATGAATAAATGGTCTTCCAGTATCTGTACATTGCTTCATACTTACGTATTCTACAACAGTCATAGTGCTGAGTAGATCATCACACTTTATTGTGTAAACTTTTTGATAAAGTGAAACTTCACAGGTTATATATGTCTGCTTGTATCACTAACAGGTTAGATTGTGAATCATACATACAAGTTCATCTAAGTAGTTTTGAAATGAGATTTTCCACAGTTCTAAAGAGACGTAGTGACCGATTCGGTAAACCAATTTATAGTTGAGGACGAATACTCAACGATGGTACTGGATGGACGTCATGATATACCAGGAATTCACTGAAGTAGGAAACTGTGAACCATTGGATCCCGACCCACTGGTTCAATGGTAACGTGCTCCCCACGAAACCTAAAGACCCTGGACTTGATTATTGGTGGCATGGTGGATGCACACTGCCGAAGAGTCCAATACTAAGACAAAACTTCTGTCCAGTTTTCACAAGTTTTCAGTGGTTCTCCAACTGTGTTGTCAGTCCGTAATTAATACAAACTTTAAAGCATATTTATCAGCAGTGCTTGTGGTTACAGAAAAAGCGTTTGTAGTGTAAATGTACAATTCAATTATATCAAGAAGTACTGGGATAATTTCGAATTTGAAGTTGTTCTCGGTGTGTAAATCCAAGTGTAATAATTTGACCAACTAACCAGAAATCAAGAAGTTAGACACAGTTTACAATTTCACCTTCACCCTCATTGTCTGGTACACAAACACATGTGTGAAATAAGGTATTGGTATATACATAACCGGTAATAGTTAACCATACGTACAGTTATGCTACGATGTAAATTAAACTGAGTTGTGAAAACTCCAGCTATGAGATGAACTTCAAATTTCTTTTGATACTTAACCTTAAGAAATACGACTGACTTTGGAAGTTTATTCTTGACCTGTGGATTGTTTATACATGGGCTATATCCTAAATGTAACAGTTTTTTTTCAGATGATTTCATAAAATATCGGGCTTAAATAGCTAACTAAAACTTGTGAAATGTCACAGCAAACAAAAAAAATCAACAGAATGTTAATTTGTCATTAAAAATAGGAATTTAGAGGTAAGATTTATTTTGAAGAGAGGGGTGAACTCGGAATCCTAAACACTATGAAGCATAACGCAATACTTCCTACAATACATGAATTTCGTAATTGTGTATGCTACTTATTGGTAAGGGTTAGGCCAATCTAGAAAGTGACCACTAAGCTAAATGATGCAACACCCTAGTGTACTGTATTTTGATGTTAAATTCTAGGAGGCAATCTGTAGGAGACTATGAACTTGAGTTTATGACTTTAGCCCTAGGAAACTGAGGTTGAAACTCCTCATGATTGTAGATATCCCTCACTTACTGTTGAGTATCAACAATCCCCAAACCTAGATTGATGACTCTCTACTGATGGTGACCTCCTACAGAACAGGGAAATTATTGGAATTATACATTTGGGCATACTTAGTGTATAATATTTAGCTTTTTTCTTACAACGGATGAACATCAAATGGTAGTTAATTACAACAATAGGGATAATTTACTTTGATATCTTCATGATTTTGATTTCATAGAAAAGCTGTTTCATTTATTTAAGGAGAGACAAAGCACTATATGAATGTTTCATTACCTTCTGATACTCATCAGCAGTTTGAATATTTAACTTGCAATTAAATTATTTAGAGAAGTTGAATCAACCAATATTAGTTGATGTTTCAATGCAATAAAATTTTCAGTTAGATCATTGTAAATCAGTTTTTTTTTTTTGCTATTTATTAAGCTTATTTTTACAAATTGCTAACATTTTTCTCACTCTTCTGATCATTTAATCACTGAAAGGATAACTACCAATATAGGATGTTATGTGTATAATATTTGGACAATGCTTTGGCGGTTTAAACAACAAATTGATCTGCTGCTTTCCTTTATATACCCATACCTTTCATTGACAGGATGTTAACAAAAAACAAATTGCTGTGAAACAAATATGTTTATTTATCATCTAATTGATTTAATTCTATGAGTATTTTTGTTATCATTTTTTTATTCACCAAGATTATGATACTCATATATATATATATATATATATATATATATATATATATATATATATATATATATATTTGATTTTCTGATTTTGATTTATGTTCACTACTTATTTTCCTGGTGTTGTACACTTCACTTGTGTTATTTTTTGCCAAGAAATATTCTAATGAAAACAAGAATTAATAGAATCGTTTGATATTCTCAAGTTATCTAATTAATTTTCTTCTGATATGCTTCACTTGATATTGTCTTTGATTTGGATATATTTTGCCACTCTATATAATAAAAATAGTTTATTTTTCATTTTTGTACTGTTTTCTTTTCTCATATTTCAAGTTGTTATTCATTGTAGACTGACATCAGTTGGAGGGACAAAGGAAACCTGGGAGCACTGGACAGCTGTTTCGTCATAGTATGGGACTCCTCCTCCACTAAGACAGCCATTTGCATAATGTGCTTCATTTCCTATTCTGCTTCTATCTTGACTTGTTCTTAATACATCCACATTGTCTCTTGAGCTTTTCTGGGCAGAATCTTTACTCATTGCTGGTAATTCCTTATAATTTCTGCCACCCTGTCAACATACATACCTGGGAGCACTGGACAGCTGTTTCGTCCTAGGTGAAAGAGGTTACTTCCTTTAAGTTTCTCCCGTTGATGGTGTTTGGAGTTTGTTGTTGTTGGAGTTGTTGGTTAGGTATCTTCATCACCTTTGTCTTCTCTATATTCACCTGAAGTCCCGTCTTCGCTGCCTCTTCTATCAACTTGTTAGTTTTCTCCTGTAGATCTTCAAGTTTGTGTGACATCAGACACAAGTCATCGTTGGCGAAATCCAGATCTTCTAGGTTCTTTTCCGCAGTCCAGCGTATCCCCCTCTTCTCGCTCCCCACTGTTTGCTGCATGATCCAGTCGACCACTATCAGGAATATCATAGGTGATAGTGAGCAACCTTGTTTCACTCCTGTCTTCACTTCATAGGCGTCACTGAGCTTCCCATTGTGAATTACTTGGCTGGCATGTGGCATCTTCATATAGTTGTTGAATGAGGCTGATAAAGGTTTGCGGTACTCCGTAGTAATGAAGCAGTTTCCAAATTACCTCTCGGTCGACGCTGCCAAAGGCCTTCTCAAAGTCGATAAAGTTGAGGTAGAGTTGTGTTGACTGCCATTCTATACTCTGTTCTATGATGATGCGTAGCTTAGCGTTGCAATTTGGTCGGCACATGATTTGTACTTCCTGAAGCCTGCATGTTCCGGTCGTAGTTTTGAATCCAGCTCATCCTTTAGTCTCTTCAGTAAGATGCGGCTTAATATTTTGCTTGGGGTGGATAGGGGCGTAATTCCGTGCCATTTCTTGCAAAGACTTAAATCGCCCTTCAGGAGTTTGACAAGGTAACCCTTCTTCCAATCAATAGGCAGGTACCTTTCCTTCCTTCCAAACCTTCTGCAATAGTAGTGTGAGCATGTCTGCTGTTGTCTCTGCGTCTGTTCTCAGTGTTTCTGGTGGTATCCCATCTGGTCCTGCTGCTTTCACGCATTTCAGTAACTTTGTGGCATTCAGGACTTCGACTTTCGTCAGAGGGCTCGTGTTCGCTGCTAGTTCTGTGACTGGGCTGCAGGTAGTATTTCTGGACGAATTGCAGGTGGTGGTCGATTCAAGAGCTTTTTGAAGTGGTCAGCCCATCCTTTCCTTTGTTTCTCCTCTTTAGTAATTAAATTTCCTTCATCATCTTTTATTGGATTCGTCTGCGTTGATCTCTTCCCAGATAGCAACCTGATTATCTGATACAATGTCGTCAGGTCTCTATCTCTCCTGCCTGCAGCCTGTTCTGCTTCACTTGCCAGTGTTTCGTAGAAGTGTCTTTTGTTTTTCCGCGCACTCTTCCTACTTCTTTGTCCGGTGTTTTATACATTGTGCTCAGTTCCTCTTGTCGTTGAGCATCCTTGCACTGGTTTATCTTCTGCTTCACCATCCTCCTTTCCCTGCTCTATCAACTTCCATGTGTCCAGCGAGATCCATTCCTTGTCTTCTTTCTTCTTCCTTCCTAATACGGTTATGCAGGTTTCCTTCCACATAGCTTTCAAGGAGTTCCAGTGCTCATCCACACAGGTTTCTTCAGGGGTGTTCCTCGATATCTCCCATTTTGTCTTGATGGCTGACGTGAAGATTTTCTTTGTAGTTTCATCCTTCAGTTTCCGAGTGTTGTACTTGAACTGAGGTCTATCACCAACTTCCTTGAAGGCTTTCAAGTTGATTATGAAGGTAGGTCCCTTGCACTAGGTAGTGGTCTGAGCCTACATCTGCTCCCCTTTTGACCTTGTGTCATGTAGGCTGCGTCCCCACTTTGTTGAGATAAAGTCGATCTGATTTTTAGTGTGTCCTGGTGTCTGGTGAAATCAAATCCATGTCGCTTTGTAGATATCCTTGTGCTTGAACACACTGCCTGACTACAATCACCAAATCGTTGAATGCACAAAATTCTGCAAACAGTTCTGCATTCTCGTTCATTTCACCTAGCGCTTCTCGGCCCATGGTTAGTTTTCTTCCTATATTTTCCGCTCCGAGTTTGGCATTCATGTCACCCATTAGAATTTTGATGTCACCAACTGGCATAGAGTCTTGTCCAGTGTTGATTGAAGTTGTGTGCAGAATTCCTCCTTCTTCTCTTCATCTGCATTATTTGTAGGTGCGTTGCGTAGCATTGTATGATTGTGACTTTCCTTCCTTTTGAGTTGAATCTTGGTGTTATGATCCTGGAGGAGGAGATTGGTTCCCACTGCATGAGAGCCTTTGATGCTCTTGGGGACATCATGATAGCCACTCCATAACTTAGTGTTCTCGTGGTTGTCTTCTGGGTGACCGGAGTAGATTATTGACTCGCCAGTTGACAGTTTAGAGAGTCCACTTTCATTCCATGTGCTTTCGCAAATTCCAAGCACTTCCGTGCCATACCTTCTCATGTCTTTTGCAATCTGGTCAGCCTTGATAGGTTCATATATGGTGTGGACATTCCATGTCCCCATCCTTACTTTCACTTTCATCGAGAAAAGAGAAGAGATATCGGCTAACTGGCTTTCCGAAAGCTTTCACCAACCAGCGTCCTTTCGCCTCTCTGAATCCAACGAGGAATAAGTCTGTTTTTATTTTTTATATTTTGTTTGTGCTTCGAAGTTTCTTTAGCGATTGGATTGGTTTTACGGGGTAGGGTTGCTAGCCCTATGCCCAACCTTCCCTCTTTACCCGGGCTTAGAACCGGCTAGTAACTAGTGAACTAGTTAACCAGGTGAGGTTATTGCTTGTATTATGCCATACGCCAATAGAGACCGATCAATTCGGTCCAATCAATGACGGTATATGTATGACGGAATGACCTAAGTTCTAGATACCTATTAGATCGTAATGGTTTTCTGTAAATACCAGTATATACGATATCGTCTTATCTTTTTTCCATTTTGCAACGTAACACCCATGTGGATATCCAGATTTTATTGATCACCTTGTAGATTCTATTTACCCAGTGAGATAAAGATATATAATTTACCATATACCAAACACTGACTACGCAGTAAAGTACGCAAATATAATCGGTTGGTTGAGATCAGTCAGGTTAGCAGAGCATGATAACTTAGCTAAATTTAAAATGGTAGACCCCATGAAGATAGGTAAAGTGGAAAAAAAGATCCCAGTCACCGCTATGTATTCACTGAATTATAATCACACAATACTGTGAAACAAGGTAACAGTCCTAAAGACTAATAGAATTTTTTGAAGACAAAGGTTGGTCAGTGAACCTCAATCCATCAAATCAACACCGTATACATGCAGTAGAAACCATTCAACGCCGGTCTTGGATGTATAAATAATTCTGCTACCAATAAAATCAAAAAGTGGGAGGTAACACAGCTATACAAATTAAACCAGAAAGTTGTATGACCAGCGTAGTAGGATTATATGAAATAAGTAATTTCTGCTGGAAGCGTCAACCAATAAGTAATACTGTTTCATTGTGTACTTCATCAAATGAACTAATCGAATACCATATTACATTCCATCACAGTGCCAAAATCCTACCCTTTCAATGGCTGAAAGCATGTTTACGCTAGCAAAACAATTTATATCAACTATGATCAAGCCTTAACCGGATAGTACCATAACCATTGTGTACTCAGTGAAAAGTTGACATTACATAAAGGTAGGTTATATTTGTATGAGTCTCAGGGTATGTGAGATAAAATAATTTCAACGTTTCATGCAGAAGTCTGGTTTGAGCAGTCTCAATTATTTTCCTAAAAACACTCGGACCAAACTTCCATACGAAACGTTGATATTATTTTATTTCAGATACCCTGAAACCTACACAAATATAACATTGGTCTAATGTTTACGCTTTATTTGATAACAGTAAAGGAGACTATGCTGTACATAACCGTCTTCATTTATTTGTTAAGTTTATGAGACTTTCTGTACATCTTTATTTTGTAAAGTCGATGATCTTAGTAATGAATCGCTAAAATTAACTTATAATTCAGTATTAGAATATCTGCCAACTCTACTTTCTGATGTTTTTTTCGGTTTTACAACTTCGTACCCACCTGTGAAACCTTAAAAGCTATGTCCTCCAACTTTTTGAATTCAACTTCCTAAACCTAACTTCAAATTTGGGAGTAACTTTAAAGGCCACCCTATCAACGATCGAAACAACCAATTAGATTTCTTTATTTTGATTAGAAAGACAAAATCTTCATAAAATAGAGAAGTCTGATTGGTTACTTCAGTTTTTGCTAGGGTGACCTTGAAAGTCACTCCCAAATTTTAGTTCTTAAACGCAAATTCTTTTCAAGGCTTTTATATTATATGTAATTATAACTTCTAATCCTTTTCAGAAATTCTAATTTTCTTAGGTTAGAAGGTAAATAAATTTAGTATTGTTTTACAGATGATGAGGTTTCTGGGCTTATCGGGGTTAAAAAATAGTGGAGAGTTTAGTTGTATATACTTCAGAATCTGGCTTTTATGTAGCAGAATATAAGACAGATATTTGAATGCTACAATCCTACCATGGTATAAATAATAAACTATTCCTGAGCAGATAAAATTGTTTCTTTTCACCCTTAAAATATGCAACGCAGACTTTTAGCTTATCTTTTAAATATCTTCAAACACTGTGGTGCAATGTCTACAACCTTGTCTATATCCATCTATGTCCATTACAAACGATCCGATCTACTTGTAAATAATTTGGTATTGATTAAGAAAGTGAGAATTTTACGAACTGAAGCTCATTAGAAATATTTACATCACTATTTTCATTCAGCATGTTGCCATGTCAATTTTATATGATATGGTTGACATTAGCTGTCATTATTTCGTTCAAATACTGTGTGGAGTGAGTAATTTTGACCGTATTTTGATTAATCTCTTCATTTTTGTAGTGTTTCTCTTATTTACTTGGATGAAATAATGATCACTAATGTCATTCACGTCACATAAAGCTTACATGGCAATATATCGGATACCGGAAGCGGTCATTGGTTCTACTTTTTTTCAAGTTGTAAGGCATAATAAATGTGTAGCGTTAGATAGTACTATAAACATTTTAAGTAGTATTAGTTCCTTTCAAGTGGAATATTACTTTGCTGACGTTTAAATATCGGACTAAGTACTCTAGTCAGTGTAACTTTACTAGAGATAAAGACTGAAATATTCCTTGCAAAGCGTTTTGAGATCCAACTTTATTCTGCTGATCATATTTGAAAAACAATCGACAGTGAAATGATTCTGTTAGACTTTCGTATGATTTTTACTTGGTCGCTAAAAAGCCTCTACTTTAAAAAACGTTCAGCTGTCTCTCTCTTCTCTCGATTAATCCAGCTGCCGTTTGATTGGTTTTTGGACATTTTTCCTCAAATCAGTTTGATATACTTAAGAACATTGTCGATTATTTGTTTATCATGGCTTGATATTTTTGAGACAAAATATAATCTATATTACTGATAGATAGTGGCTAGCAGAGGAATCCAGAAGGTGCGCTATGTCCTATTTAGTACTCATCAATTGGATATATCTGTCTACCAGTGAGTGATGTTGTTTTCACTCAGGTTGGAACCCGGAACTGGTCGCTTTAAACGTCACGGCGTTATCCACTAAGCCACTGAGTTTACGATAGCCACTTCTTGTGTGATGGGTATGGTATAGCCAGGAGTACAGTATGAGTCAAGTAAGACGAGATGCACGTCCTAAATTTCACTACTATTTACTATCCATCAGTATCAAATGTGAAAATACCGACAATATCGGGGTATCCACACAGTAATCCCTATACCAATAATGACCGATTAATTCGGTCTAATCAACTACAGAGATCTACTGGCTATGACTTTAAATCCACAGCATATCTCAATCTAAGCATTTTCTAAGGTACTGAGTGAAGTAAGATATTTTCTAACCTTGTCTGAATACTTTTACTCTCATTGGAAATGATAATAATAATATTCCTACTTAAAAATAAAAGTCCAGTAAGTTTCACCTATATTTTCCATATAATAATTATCCGAAGAAAGCAGTTGACACAAGAATTTTGTTTATCTTTCATTCCGTTTCTTCAGACAGTAAGTTAATTGACTGTGATACCTCTGAGAACATTATAGACGCTTGTAAATCATCTTGATGTCATCTAATCAAGCAATTAAACTTCGACAACCAATTAAGAAAACAAATTGTCCTTATCGCGTAGTGCTTAGATTTCGTTTGTTGGATTACACTATGGTATAATATTCGGTGCGATGGAAACTCACTACAAAGAGATAAATCCAACGAGCTTGTTTACTCACTTAGATTAAGAAATAAATAAACTCATTTTACTGATTTCGCTTCGGTGCATGATGATAAGAGTTGATCCTGAGGAAATAATGCTAAACCAATGTTTCATCCTTGTTGGCACAGGTCAATAAGGTAGTATCTGTTACATTGCAGCCAATTTTTTTCCCTGAGATTCGGATATAGTTCATTCAACGATAAATTCAGATGTCAAGATTAAATAACTCGTGTTATGAATCACTCTGATAACTCTTCACACCTACTTCTTGGTATGCTTTGAACAGTAATTACTACTCAACAGGTTTTAATGGCAGTGCTTGTGGGTTTAGCATGCTGGTTATTGATTTGGACGATCAAGTTTTCTGAATTCGAAACTATCATGAAAACATACTACTTCTCCTCAGGGAAATTATTGTTGCTCATCTCGTCAATATTTGGAGCTGTGGTTGTTGTTTTCGCATACTGTATCGTAAACGTGGAGAGTCCCACACTGCTGTTAATTGTACGTTGCATTCAATAGAATGATGTGGAAAGCATCTAATCTGCAACTTCATTCTTATTGCAGCCTTCCTATCAGTGAGTGTCTGTGGATTTTTGTTGATGGTACAAGTAAGATGTTGAGTTGATGTTTGATGTGTCTTCCAGTTGGATGACGACCTGTCCACCAAATTCACACTGGCTATCACTAAATACTATGGTATCAACATGTCACTGCGTCGAAATGTGGATCTAACTAAGACTGTGGATGAGATTCAGTTCAAGGTATGTCAGGTCAGCGTAATGTGTATCACAAACAGTTTAAATGTTGTGGGACCTATGGAGAGCAATCCAGTAATTTTTCATGGTATATTTACAGAGGATCAAGTGCATGGTTTTATGTGACGCAAGTACAAGGTATGCTTCAGTGCTCTTATTTATTACTTTTTGATAAATGATAGGCATTCGCATTCATTCATTCACCTCTTGATTTCATCAAATCTCTCGATTTTTCCACCATATATTTGTACGAATTGGTGTGTGATTATTCATAAATGGTCGTTGTGGATCCAATTATGCGTTCATGTATCAACACTGCAACATCTCGTCTTTTTATCATCTACGTAATTAATTACTTTGAACTGAATCTCATTCATATTTATCTGTAGAATTTCTTTCTAGATATTAACATTTTCTGAAGGGAATTCTGGGAATAATATGTAAAACTTCTGTGTTGTCAACATATGTTTATTCTCTGATTAAACACTTTAGATCTATAATTGAAGAGTTTGAGGATGAAGCTACTGAAAAGCGTATTCTTTGTTCTGTAATTTGATTATACAAGGAAAAGTTGAAGAAGTGTCCTGGTTTTACTATTGGCTATGCATCAAAACATCTTCAACACACATATTCTGTTATTTCACTCTTATAGCCTTTCAAACTGCTTTTGATTATGAGTTGCTGTTCACAAAATGAAATTATAATCGCAACTTCTTTAACGGTGCTTACTAGTACCAGTATTTCTCACTAATGATATTTTCGACTTCTGAAGAGAGTATGTTACAGAAAATTTTACCAGTTTAATAAATGTTGTAAAATTGTGCCTTATTTTTGCAAAAAATTTGACACTTAAAGATTGACTTGAGAATAAAATGAGTTCACGATTCTTTTAAAACTTCATAATGAAGTAACGAACTAAGACTTTATATGATTACTAAACTTAAAAGTTATAAATGTCAGGATCTAGGCGCTGAACTGGTCTCATTGTCTATTTTGGTTTAATTACGTGTTATGTGTTACCTGACGACTGGCTGCCCAATTCGAAAAAGAAAACATAATCACAGTGAAAACTTGACAATAACTACTTCCTTTCATTTTGATTTTCTTCACTATATAGTATCTCCCTGTTCAGCATATAGGTCAAATGTTTAAGCTAATCTTCTCTACCCCGTTCTACATCAAATAAACTAGACTGTGATGTTGAATCAGACAATTTGGTGGACCATATTGTAGACTCAGTTCATGTACACCAGTCAGCAACTGGGATTAAACAGCCTGACAATGGCAACGCCGGTTTACTACTACAAGAGAGCTATCCTTCTCCTTTAGTCGTAAATGCTTATGACTGAGGAATAGTAAAAGGACGAAAGCTAGGTCACTTGAAGTTTCTTTCTGATTACCTCCAACCAACTGACAGTTATTTATTTTTCAGTTATCTATCACTGTCTAGTTTTTTTTCACTACATTTTTTGTGAGTTGAGTTTTCGTTTTGAGAAAGAGTAATCTGACTCAGTAGTCTCAAGTAAACGATGTTGCAAATCGATCAGTAAAAGGCTCTGCACCTAAGGTTCCTGCTTATTGGCTATCATCAGTAAAGCATATCTGCAGCTATAAGGAAACTAGTGTCTCTCCAATGATTCAAACCGGTATCATTCGATGCTAGACACTGCTTTATTCTGGCTTGAACAGCTTATTGGTAAAACCTCCGATTTCAACATTGATTCATGGAAGTCTAAATCACTGGAGGAACACCTGCTTTCTCATGGTTAGAGATGAGTTGGGTTGATGAGCCCCAGCAAGCGTGAAACTCAAGCTTAGGGAATTCAATCAACTGATGACTAAAATTGAACTTGAATAGTTTGTCAATTTAAAAGTTTATTGTGAAATAAATATGGTGTAAAACTTCATGCAGATGATTAGTACTCTCAAATGATGGCATCGAAGACTATGCACCAAGATATAAGATAAATCTCATAGGTTATATATATTACGGTGATTGGATTATATTCATTAACACTCAAGTTATATGACTACTGTGTCTCAAAAGGAATAAGACTTATAGTTATTATCTGTGGTTATATGAAAAAAAAGGCGAAACTCAACTCCTGTGGTCATCTTTATTTTAGTTCGGAATTCAGAGAGTGGCGGAAATTGATGCTCAAACATTATTTGATATCATACACATGAAATGCATAGAAATGTTATTTAGAATATAAAACGTTTATGCTTTAACTACTGTCTCATTCTGTAGTGTTTGCTTGGAATTAGTAGTAATATTTTTGTGTACAAATGACTGCGTATTAGTTGTAATACCACATGAATTCAGTTCAGTAGAAATTCGAATGAATTGTTGATATTCAATATAAAGTAGTAAGCCTAATGAAATAATGAATCCAATTATCTGAAAAAAAGTAAACAGACTACTTATTATATAGATTAAGTAGTAAACATTTCATTTTAAAAATGAGATACCAACACTCACAGACAGAACAAGAGCTGTTGTGCCTGAAGCAGCTAGCATGATGGCATATTGTCGATAATCTTGCCTGATGACTGTAATACACCCCTAAGTGAATAAGAATATGAAATTAAGTAGGTTTTGAAACCTTACCTTTCATATAAGTAAGTATTACTTCTAGTGATATATCCTGGATTATCAATACGAGGAGCAGTATCATCTCTTGCAGATAGCGATTGATAGCCAACACAAATATCTCTGTTTAAAAAACCATCATTTTTCATTTGGAGTTCTGAGAAGGAATTCAGCTCAAAATAGTTATCCTTTAAAACACAACAACTTTCTGGAACATACTGGCGTGGAAATTTCGAATCTATGCGAAAATAATATGGAAAAGAATAGAGATAATTTAGATGGAAGGAACAAAGTGTCTTTAGAATGATAGAAAAACGTAACTATCTGGTAATTATGCGAAAATAATTTTTTGCTAGTTCTACTTAATTGAATATACAAAATAACTATCTTTTTTGTCATATCTGTCTGTACAGCATAATCTGCTAAAAGATGACAAATTTAGATTCTTTAGTGAAATAGAGAACAGTTAAACTCAGAGAAAATAATCAAAATTATTCAACTTGAATGGTTTACAATCATAGAAACCAAACTAAAAACAAAGTTTCCTTGTTGTACCTCTTTACTGATTTTTTAGGATTGAACTAACCAGTCTCTACAAACTCTTTAACAATGTTTGTAATCAGATCTTAGTTATACAATCAATAGTAGGTAATGTTGGAGTTCAAGATGTTCATTTTTTCTTACTAAATATTCACCAGTTAAATACCCCGACAATGATAATTCAGTTACTATATGATATATTAAAACTCTCATATGTAAGCGGTCATAGAATAGGTTCACTAAAAAGCTTCAGTAAATAGATCATATCTGATTTCAGTAATTTAAATCCTAGAGAATATCAGATATTAAATTACTATACGAGAACGAACCAAGCCGAACTAGTACTAACCTCACTTATGCTTAAATTCGATTAATATAGTATACATGACAAAAAATGGGTCATCTAACCTTCTGTGAATTCGTTGAAATATATGTGAACTATGTGATATTAGAGTTGTATGGACACTTGGTTCGGATCAATACTGATGACTGTCAGTGGTAAGTAAAATATTATAACTCCAATTGATAATTCTAAAAGGATCGATGGCAGAAGGCTTTAACAGTTTATGACCAGTTTATTGATTTACCATATTTTTGTTTTCTACGACAAAGACCTTAGGATAAAACTTCTCCGATAGGTATAAACACTTAAGGAGTATACTCCAGGAGGGTTGTTTCAATGATGTAGGTCTAAGCTTCAATTATGTAAATGAAAATGTGTAATCTAAAATACTGAATTACTAGGTTTGAGAATAGTTTATAAAGCTTTTAGTTTATTCATTTCTATTCTCCTAAAACTCCGATCGCGATTTCAAATTGGACCTTACAAAGTCCGAATCCTATGTGAAATCACACACCAGACGTACCTCTCTAGAACTTTCGGATATCATGTCATGGACGTGTGCTGTATTTCTGAGACACTTATACAGGACCTGAATGTGGTTATTCACTTTACCTCACCTAGCCATTGCGGTAAATATTCAAAACCCACCTTAAGATTATCCGAAGACTCGATAACAAGCTCTCGTGGATTTTCTGGTGTAGCCATAGCATTGAGTCGTAGATCGGAAAGTGCACTACTCGACTGAATACCAGTAAATGATCATTTGTGTTCTGTCCCACTGAATGGTAATACAAGAACTAGGAAAGATCATGAGACTTGCCGGTGCTTATTCATGATCTCCGCCTGCGTGCTCACCGACTCAAGTTGGGATGGTGCTAAGAATGAATTCTATGAGAAGCTGTAAGTTTTGCTACTGAAAACAAAGCGTTCAGATGTATACATAATGATAGGTGACTTTAGCAACCAAGTAGGGAAGCTGAGACAACCCGAAAGGTATATTGAAGGTATTTATGAAATCCCATCTCAAATGACCTACAATGGTTATCGTTTACTGCAATTTTGTTCTGATATTCACTTGTTTCTGGTCAGCCCTAACTTCGAACGTAGGGAGAGACCATCTCGTATGGCGTCCGCTGACATAAAACCTATGGTGGATACAGACAGCTCATATTACTCCTTAACAACCATCATTGGAGAGGACCGGGGTAAGGTGGGCTCTCTTTCTGAAGTACCTGTTTGGACTCCAATTACATATTGGTACATTCATGTGTATATCTCCGTCTTACTGATCACAGTAAAATAGGCGGCAGTAAAGCCTACGCATGCTCGATTGGCAGATGAGAACAAGAAGTATGTATTTAGGAAGGAGATGGCTAAACGTTTATCTGAACGTGACGCCAATGCTCACCCTGAAGAAACCTGCATGACGTTAAATCTGCTGTAGAAACAGCGATTAAGACAGTTGGTAACCTATATCCTAAGGTTAGTAAACGTCAATGGATTAACGCGACGTCATCTGAACTGATTTATATGAGAACGTTCATTCCACCAGGCTCTGACTACCAAGAAGAGCGAAAGCAAATCCAGCATAAATTGACCAGGAGTCTTAGCAATGACCGCGAGCTATAGTGAGTAGCTCAAGAGAGGAAAAGAGATTATATCAGTATCAGACAACACCCGGCAACTATTTAGGCTTATTATGCATACTGGCAAGAAAAAGACGATAGTCAGTGAGACCATCACTGAAAAGGATAGGATAATGATGACCTGTCAGGATAGACGGTTACAACGTTGAACTGAACGCCTTGAAGCACAGTTCATCTGGCCCAGAGCAACGCTTTGACAACCTAGAGTTCAACCCAAACCCTATAGGGACGTAGATTTCAGTACACCAATTGAAAATGAAACGATGAAAAGCATCGGAACGTGACGATTCACCAGTGGAAGTTGTTAAAGATGAAGGATATGAATTTTTGAGTAGAGTTAGTACATCAGGATCAGATGGAGTCCCGTCAGACTGATCTACTTCATGGATCATCCTAGTTTGTAAAAAGGGGTAAAAGTTTTCTTGTTACAAGCACCGGGGATTCAGTTTGACTAAGATCCAATATTCTCCTGTCCATAGTTACCCGACGTATAAGTTGGGCCCAAGAACAACAAAAACGAGAAACGTAGAAGCTTTGAGAACTGAGCGAAGATGCATCGATAAGATCTCCAACTTATAACAGCTTCTGAGACACAAACATACTTACTGGCGGCTGACACTGGCCATATTCAGTGACCAGATGATAGTATTCGACTCTTTTGAACGTGAGGTGTTGTAGTGGTCTCTAACTCTACAAGAAGTGCCCAGCAAGTATGTAATACTGATCGAAAACCTCTACTTGAAATCCCACAGCCATGTTACAGCATACGGAAAGTTATCATCCGAACCCACGACAACTGGTGGTACGCGAGAGTTGCACGTTATCACCGCTTCCGTCTAATTTTAACATAGATATACCACTGACCGTAACCCCAGGTACTTCACAGATAATCCTTGAAAGACATCTCTTTGACTTGGTGTACGCAGACGAAATCTCGCTGAGTAATGCTGAGTAACACTGACAAAATACATGGTCTTTTGAAAGTTTTGGGCAGGAATCTGTCCGTGTTCGGCACGCGTTTTGCACCTAGTAAATCCAAGATTATGCTTCAGAAATGGTTTACAGCTACTCCCAGTTTAAGGATAGGGAGTGAAGTGGTGGGATGCACTGACCGCTTCAATCATTTAGGGAGTTTCATCAGCCTGAATGAGCTGGTCACTGACAAAATATCAGCTCGGATACAAAAGGCCCGTTCGGCATTTGCCAACTTGCGTCAGCTCCGGCACTGAATGGCAAGATATCCGACTATCTATTAAAGGATTAATATGCTACGCTGCAGTTCGTTGTCCTGCTATACAGCTGCGGGACTTAGTCGTTAAAAGTGATTGTGAAAAGATCACGGGTGCTTTCTTAGCATTGCTCGCGTTTGGTGGAATCACCACGTTAGCAATGTGGAGATCAGGCGAAGGACTCTAGGCCAAGAAGGGAAATGGGTAGATGAGGTTGTGGACTTTCGTCCACTGAGGTGGCTAGGACTTGAGTAGCGAGTCACCACCTACCTCAACGTGCAGTTCTGGAAATCGGATTAGGTTGGAAGAGGGTTCAGATTGACCAGGAAAAGACGTGGGGCCAGCCCATGAAGTCCCTGACTGTTGGTTTCAGCTGTGCAGGGAGGTGTAGACTACCTGATTGCGGTCGTCGAGATAACAGGAGCCAGTAGTTGAGGACTCAGTGTCATGACTGAAAGTTGGTCGCAATGGCACAAATGCTTTCACTCTTTGATGTCTTCATGGTTTGAATATTTTCACTAACCTTAATCTTCAACTGATTTCACTCATACACCCTTTTCAACTCTGATAATGTTTTTCCTTCCAGTTTTTCTCATGATTCTATGAAGTTTAGCAACTTCAACCGATACACCTGTTGTTGTTACATTTGTCTTCGTTTTTGTAAATAATTAAAGAATAGGTTCTCAAAGGGTAACCAGGAATAAAATCGCTCTAACCACCATTTGTTGGTGACAAAATATAACTATTAGTAACTTCTCCCTACAGTTCCACAGCTATGGATTAGTACTGTTTGACTGAGTAATAAAGATGGATTCAAAACCGAGATTTTGTATGACCATTTATGAATAATCACACACCAATTCGTACAAATATATAGTGGAAAAATCAAGAGGTTTGATGAAATCAAGAGGTGAGTGAATGAATGCGAATGCCTATCATTTATCAAAAAGTAATAAATAAGAGCACTGAAGCATACCTTGTACTTGCGTCACATAAAACCATGCACTTGATCCTCTGTAAATATACCATGAAAAATTACTGGATTGCTCTCCATAGGTCCCACAACATTTAAACTGTTTGTGATACACATTACGCTGACCTGACATACCTTGAACTGAATCTCATCCACAGTCTTAGTTAGATCCACATTTCGACGCAGTGACATGTTGATACCATAGTATTTAGTGATAGCCAGTGTGAATTTGGTGGACAGGTCGTCATCCAACTGGAAGACACATCAAACATCAACTCAACATCTTACCTGTACCATCAACAAAAATCCACAGACACTCACTGATAGGAAGGCTGCAATAAGAATGAAGTTGCAGATTAGATGCTTTCCACATCATTCTATTGAATGCAACGTACAATTAACAGCAGTGTGGGACTCTCCACGTTTACGATACAGTATGCGAAAACAACAACCACAGCTCCAAATATTGACGAGATGAGCAACAATAATTTCCCTGAGGAGAAGTAGTATGTTTTCATGATAGTTTCGAATTCAGAAAACTTGATCGTCCAAATCAATAACCAGCATGCTAAACCCACAAGCACTGCCATTAAAACCTGTTGAGTAGTAATTACTGTTCAAAGCATACCAAGAAGAAAGTTTGGTGAATTATGAGAATGTTCTTTAGCCAAATTCCCAGTAAAGTATGCGATGGACCATAAGTTTTTATGCTCATGTATAACAATTCAAAACGTAATGCCTCCAATATCTATGACAATTTAGAGTTGAAAAAAGAAAAACAAATGCAACTGCAATAGCGCTAGTAGAAAATACCTGTAAATTTTTAGCTTTCGCTGCCAGGCCACGAGACTAGGGTCTTTCTCTCGTTGTGCTACTCCCGTGATCTCGGAATTGCTCATGATTTTCCATTTTAGAATGATCTCTTTTTTAATATTGAGGATGTTGGTGTGTGGACAGTGAACATAATGATGAAGTCCGCTTTCTCGTCGCGTGAGTGCAGGATATTGGGTTTGTTGGTCAATTCTTTTGGTCCTTCTATTCCCCATGTTTACCTGCTTATTTTTGTCTTCGACATAACCTGCATCCTATTGCTCAAGGGGCAATCCTTGAGCAACTCCTAGTTTACTATTGACCAGTGACCCTCACATTAAGATCCCCTTATTTATCCTCCTGTTCGCCCACGAAATAAAAGTTGGAGGGCATAGGTGAGGACATGGGTCCTGGCATATTCAAGAATATCTGCTACAGTTGGGGTCCCGGTCAGTTGAGAACGGTTTGAACTTTAGGCTGGACAATTGCAAATTAGTGTGTCTTCGCACATCGAGAGCAATAAAACTCAGCCACATCCTCAGTAAGTGCGCAAGCACCAAGGTGTCGAAAGAGAACGACTTATGACTAGACTTCTGACAGACCAGATAATTGTGCCGACTGTGAAGGAATGGTGGAAGACCCGAACACCATCACTCACCTCCTGAGAAGGCAGTCTGGAGCCCTAACCCCATAATTATTCCTCATAGCATTTAAATTCCATGTTAGACCATTTGTGGGTGTTAAACTCGATAGCCCTATCCCTACTAAAGAGAAACGCGAACACTCTGGAGAACGTACAGAGAAGGGTGGCAAGGTCGGGTGTCGGACTAACAGGCAAAACATATTTGCGATGCCTTAGACAGCTCAATTTATTAACATTAAGCTGTAGAAGGAAAAGAGGCGGCCTAGTAACACCCAAAAAATCAGACTGTGGATAACCCTGATAGCTCAATGGTACCGGTTCAAAATCGACGGTCTCCCTCGAACTCCACCCCCACCAGAGGGCAAACACAAGGGGAGGGTCAAGCACCTTCTCATACATAATGTGTGCCTTATGGAACGCTCTGTGGAAGGAAGTAGCCATGGCCACACCGGTCGACTTCTTCAAACGACTACTGGATAAGTACGCTGGGGCAAACGGCTTACGGCGAACATTCTCCTGTAGCAGCTCGTCCTCCCCTGTATTCCCCAGCCCTACCATCTACAATAAGACGCATCCCTTCCCCCTATTATTAACAGTAAAACTTCTCCATAAATGCCTTTCACCCTTCTCTTTCTCACTGCCTACCCGCCTCGTCTCTAGCAGTGCTTTTACAAAGACCCTACAATACTTGTGGGTGCTTGTGAAAAAAGGAATTGACAGGTACCGATTGATCTTATTCGCAGCTCAGTTGATCTACAAAACAAACCAGGGAGGAATTTGCAAACAAGCGTACCCGGAAATAAACAACGAGCTCCTGCGAGTCTATAAGCTTGAAAAATCTAAAGGTCCTCGGCTACCACTGAACACGTATAACAGAAAATATGGGACCGATTCCTGAGGCCTAGAATCAAGAGCTACAAACCGCAGCTTTCCTCTACTCCCATCAGTGAAAGTGGTTGTTAGACGATCACTGCTCAGACAGCTGTAATTACAGCTTCCTCTTATGCTGCGAAATCACGAATGCTTTAGCTGCCACTCAAGTACTACCACCGGACAAACATATAGCCTAAACACCTACAAGTGAAAGCTCAAGGGCTAGAAGTTCCCCCCGCTCGAACCGCTGAACTCTGATCGCCTTACAAATGAGATCTCTACGCAAACTGGCCTCAGTCGAAAGTAGTTGCATTGCCCCAACAGACCTCTGAAGTTAGTAGTAGGAGAGTTGTTACATTATTAGTTGGCGGCTCGTGTCCCAAAAGTCACTCCCAATAGACTAATCTGAAGTTTTGGTCTGCACCCATAGGCGGACTAAATACCAAGGGTAAGACAGAAGCCCTGACCTTGGGCCACTCACCCCTCAACGCTGCAGAAACTGACTGCTTCTTGCCGACCCATAGTGTAAAGCATGACCTTGGTCAACGGGAGAATACGGAAGAAATACGATAACTATGAAACTGTCGTCGAAAACCAAAGCTGGTAACTGTCACAGTGATAACGACATAGAACCTATTGACACACAGATCGCTGTGTGAAACTTTGAGAACGTCCCACGGCAAGCTTTAAGTCAGGCGCGTAGACTACCTACTAGGTTTGCTGGCAGCAACTTGGAAAAAACTACACCAAGCAGGATGAAGCGAGTATCTTCTGGATCTCTCATTCTTAGGACTGGTGGACTCAATTTGAAAACTGCTGACGGTAAGGCTGGGTCTACTTCAGATGAAAGAAACGAGAGTGAAGCGCTCTCAGTTCCATCGACAGAGCCACGCAGGCAGCGGGTCATACCCAGTTCGGCGGCCCAATCATTGACGAAGGTAACACAGAATGGGATGCAAGTCCGTTCCCAGGCTCTCAGTGTCACGGCCACTGGACTAGGCCTTAGCAAGCCTCGCATACCCGACTCTGAAAAATGGCAAATAACTAAGCCTAAGCTGCATGCTAAGAAGCTAATAACGGTAACCGAGCCAGCTATCTTCACTCCACATAGCAAAGACGAAGTAAAGCTCCTCGACAGGTCCGTAATTTTCCATGCAGTGGAGGAAAGTAGGAACCCAGAACCACGTAAACGTTTCGAACATCACCTTGACAAGGTGCAAAGTTTGATAAACCAGCTTTACCAGAAAACGTGCCAGAAGTCACTCTACTCAAGATGTATAGAGCAGGCAAACAGGAAAGTCATTAGTGAAGACGAGTCATGTTCAAGTTCACCAGATGAGAGGGATCAGATTATGAAGAACGCTCATGGACTTCAGCGATCTAGTGTTGGTGCGAAAGGATCTGACTCTTGCTGACCGAATCAAAAAACGAGAAGCAGAAGCAGAACTAAAATCCAGATTAGCAGCTGGAGAGCGAGATCTGAAAGCGGTGGGTTTTCGTGTGGTGCGGTTTCGGCAACAGATGATGCCGGACGGAAACTCATTTAAGTGTTTTCATTGTCTTGGACACAAATGCGCGTAGTCTTTTAAACAAATGGACTGAGCTTGGCAATGTGATAAGCAACGAAAGCTTCGACATCATTGCTATCTCAGAAACTTGGTTCTCTTCCTGGATCAGTGACTGTGAAACACTTACGAGGATTCATCCCTTTTAGAAGTGACAGGTTTGCACGCAAGGGTGGCGGTGTCATCCTGTACGTTGGAAATAACTTAACTGTAAAAGCCGTAGAAACAGTTACACATGACAGTGGGACATGTGAAGTGCTGCGCTGCCGACCAATAAGCAAGGGGCAAGATGTTAACGTAATCGTGATATATCGAAGCCCTGAACGTGATGCAGCAGACTTTCTCCTGAATAAACTGACCCTTCGAGCAGATAAATGCCAATGTCTAGGTGTAGGAGATTTCAACGCACCGTCAGTTGACTGGGACAGACTAACAACAGAAGCACCACGGAATTCGTTTGACCGCTGGTGAGTGGAAACATCAATTTCCCTAGCCCTCACACGGCACATTAGAACACCAACCAGAGATGATCATCAACATGCTCCATCAGTTATGGACTTAGTGTTCTCACATATGGATGATGTGTCCTTCATCCTGCACCTAGCGCCCCCTGGCAAAAGTGACCACGCTGCGATCATCTTCAGATCCACAGCAGATGTTTTGGGCCAGGCCGATGCCCCAGACAAACCCAACATATGGAATGCAAATATGGAAGCTGTTAACCTGGCAGCCTCTTTGGAGGGCTAGGCAGTCAATCCAGAAGCCTCAGTTGAAGGTGTGTGGTGCTCCTCCAAACAGTTATATGCACGAGTGACCCAACCGTCCACTCCGTGGACCATTTTGAGGGGACAGAAGCGCCGTCTCCCATGGATAAACCACGAAATTCGAATCTTGCCACGAAGTAAGAAAAAGTGTTGGAATCTTGCCACCTACCTCGGTACGCCCGAAGTGGTGAAGCATTACAAAGAAGCTCGCAATAAATGTATCTCTGCTATCCGCCGGTCTCGAATCTGCTTTGGAACACGTCTTGACCAGGCTGCATCGCAACATCCGAAGAGGTTGTTTTTCTATATGAACTGTAGAAACAAGACGTGTCGTGGTATACCCGTCCTAACCAATGGTATGGAAAGTGACTGCTTGATTGAGAACGACAGGGAAAAAGCAGAAGCCATGGTTGGGTATTTTGCTGACGTCTTCACACAGGAATCCTCTGTGGACGGTAGAAGCAGTGACATCCAGTAGAATAAACTCTGTGAATGTCGATCGTGATGATGTATTTCGGATATTAAATACTCTCGATGTCAAAAAATCAACGGAACCGGATGAGTTGCACCCAAGGCTGCTCAGAGAACTCCATGTAGCCGACCCATTGACTACTATATTCAGACCATCTCTCAGTGAAGGCACACTCCCCTATGACTGGAAGGATGCCATAGTAACACCTATGCACAAGGCAGGTTCTAGGCAGCTCCCTTCAAATTACAGACCGATTAGCTTGACTAGCACTGTAGTGAAAATCCTAGGGAGAGCAAACAAGAAAGCCATCACAGTCCACCTAGAGAGAAACACTCTACTTTCTCGCTCACATCGCGGCTTTTGTAGAAATTTCTCTTGCTTGAGGAAGCCTCTTACAGCCAGAGAAAGTTGCGTCAAGTCTAAAGATGACTTTAGCAGGGCGTTCGACAAAGTACCTCATTCCACAATGCTCGGAAAACTGAGGAGTTTTGGAATCACTGGAAGTCTGCTCGCACTGATAAGAGACTTTCTTGTTGGTAGGAGACAAACAGTTAGGATCAGTTCTCAACTCTCCACTTGGAAGTCGGTAGAGAGTGAAGTGCCGAAAACGTAGTCCTGGGCCCCCTGCTGTTTCTCCTATGTGTAAATGAGCTGCCAAACATCACAAAATCTCCTGTGGTTCTCTGCGCTGGTGATGTAAAAATCTGGCGGGAAATTAGGAACGATGAGGATATACTTGTGCTCCAGATGGACCTGAACAGCTTATCTGCCTGGCCAGAGAAGTGGCTGATGCCTGTCAATGCAGGTAAATGTGTGAGGATGCACTTGGGGAACACACACAGCAACATCCATGATATTGATGGGACTCCTTTACCCTCAGTACTGACCCACGAGTCACAGTGAGTTTTGGCTTGAAAACAACGGTTGACTCGACTGGTGGCAGTTCGGAGTTTTAGGACTCTGGGCATTACGTAGAACGTTTACGAAAATAAGTGGTGACATGTTCACCATCTTATACACATCCTTAGTTAGGTCCAAATTAGAAAACTGTACACAGGCGGCCAATCCTTGTCTGAAGTGTGACGCAGACCTTCTAGAAAGAGTTCGAAGGGCAGCCACTCGTATGATTCCTGCGATGGCCGGCCTCAACTATGAAGACTGACTTAAGGAGCTGAATCTCTCCACTTTGTCCTATCCCAGACAGAGGGGAGACCTAATCATGCTATTCGGGATTCTAAGAAATGACTTTGGACCTAACCTCCCTCCTTTTTCCTTCCCACCAGGTCGGTACACCTCAGAGGACATGGTAGGAGACTGCAAAAGCAATGAACGAACATAGTCTCAGCAGAGTACTGGCTGTCGTGTCCAGCAATGGACGCCCGGAATCGACTCCCAGAAGAAGTGGTGTCCGCATCATCAGCAGACTTGTTCATAAGGGAATTGGACAAGCACAGGAATCTACTGGAAAAGGATTAATATAGGCTCCCAGCCTCCTATCGCCAAAACAACAAGTCCGGAATCTGAATCTGTTTGTCTACTTTCAGGAATATCGCACCACAGTCCACCTCCACAACACGTAGTGCGCAGCAAGTTCTCCCCCCAAAAGCTCTCCTAGACCTCTGACAGTCTCTCTTGATGGTACTCGTCAGTCCGAATACATTCTTTCGAAAGCGAAAACTCTCAGACGTCAGGATTAGGACTGGCAGATCACGGTCAGCGACGAAATTTCTTCCCGATAGTAGCAGACTTCGTCTTCAAGAACTACGCTGTTCAATCGTCATACACGGGACTCTCGAGTGTTTGGACACTGACTCTACTGAGCTCGTCCATGACAAAAACCGGTGGCGATATTAAGTGGAAAAAATCCAAGTCACCGAGGCACCAAGAAATTAATTACCGTTCGAAGCCACCCCACCCCTCGGCCATACGTATTCCCAGGCTAATCAAAGTAACCTTTGGTTCTTAGGACAGGGTCAGTACTTCTCTAGAGTCGTGGCATGACAAGTCGGATGTCATCACTAGAGGTATTGAGGTAGACAAGCGTAAACCCAAAGGACAAAGACAGAAATTCAAGAACATACCGATGGCCAACCCACATCTGGCGATGAAACGGTGAACGAGAGTTTTTACCGACCTTCTCCCAGATCTAAGAATCCTGTACCAGTTCCCAATCGAGCAGATGGGGTGACATGGTACCCTATGTCTCTGCCTCCCTATCAATAAAAGACTTTCAAAGCCAGTCCTTTAAGGTCCGCCATCACGTTCTTGACTCAACCTGCTTCTAGAACTTAGGGTGTTCATATTCTCAATCACTGTGTCTATGGCGGTGTGCGTGGCCTGCGCTCCAGGGCACCTGAGTTACGGTTGCTGGTTGTTCTGGGTAGTCCTAGCATGATGGCCTCCTGTGAAACATGGCCCACAGGGAACATAAAAGATGAGGAAATTCACCCAGGACGGCTCAACCATTCAAGAAGGATAGATCAGGTGGTTCAGAAGGTGCTCTGCCCTTTACACCCGTCCTTTCCTGGAAGTTAATGAGATTCGCTCTCACTGGATTAGCACTAAAGATGTATTCTGGTGTAGCACTAAGTACTGTTGAGGTCCATGTTTGGTTTGCATTGTGGAAGATTTTAGCCCTCCTCAACTCTTTACCACTGAAAGCCCATCCAAAGCTTTATGAGATTTTCGGGATTTATTACCCAAAAACCTCCTGACTCAAAGTGCTTGTCAGAGGACTCGCTGGTGGTTTGACTGTAAGGCATCTCGACTAGATTATATCTACACGAATCAGTGCATCAGGGTGGCCAAATTACTTATCCTTAATTCCCTTGCACCGAGTGACTATGCAGTCGTTTCCTTCCACATTTCTATAACTAATTCGCCTGATTGGCTTTAGTCAGGAATTTTTGGAGGACCGTTTTTGAGTAGGTCCGGCGAGACGCAGAGGATTCCACTTACTCAGATTGTGATGACCCACCAGATCTGCACGCCAGATGGAGTCTGTTGAAGGATGCGACCCTTCAAGTGATGAATAGTAACACTCCTCTGATTCCATGAAGAACCAATAGGTTTTACTTCTCTTGGCCCAAGTCAAACACGCGTAGACTTTTACGGCTTAAACGGTCATCTGGGAATAATTGAAGGGTCACTGACAGCTCTCTTTACTGGCTAAATTGCAAAGAAATTCATAACAAGTGCACTGTAAGAATCAGAAATGACAGCTTAAACTAACAGGCACAAACACGTGGAACACTGGAGGGGAATCATGGGATATTAGACTCGCTGGTGAAACCGAAGGTTGACAGTTCACTTGGTATGCTGGACAGTACATGGTCCATATACTCGCCCTCATCTTGAGAAAAACCCCCTCGTGGTGTTCTCGTACTTGAAGGAGGATATAGTTATCCTGGAACTGGCTCAGAAAAGAGCTACGAAGAAAATAAGTGGGTTATGGTACAAACCTTACCTAGATCGTTCAGCTGCTCTTAAGCTGCATCCGCTACCATTTCGTAGGTTCAGGAGGGATATGTTCGTTGCTCGCATCTACCTTCATCCTAATAGATTCCTTCCGAGCTTTGGTTAGAAGCACCACCTTTGGGGTCATTGGTTAGGAGCAGAGCATGAAAGAGTACGCACGAAAAATCCATGCTAACTAGTTTGCAGTCAGTTTATAAGGAGTGGAACTCCGTTCCTGCAGAGTTTGTTACGGTCCCGTCTCTTGATACTTCCACAAGGAGGTTAAATGCACAGCTCAAGAATCGTGGTGCAGATGACATGTACTCGAGAAGCTTTCCGTCATCTACAGATCAGTGGGAGTAATACTACCTCGAGACCAGATCAAGTAGTAATCGATTACCTCTATCCTTTCAGGTTTTCCGGAACTAGGAAGATGAATGTGACCGTTCTAAAACTAGAACGTACTCCAACAAGACAAATGTGGAACTAATGGAACCACTGTTGACTGATTCTGCAAAGTGAGGTTTTAAGTTTTTGTTGGATATGTTGAAATCCGTACTTCCCACCACAAAATTAACACTTTGCGTTACCGTTAGTTATGACTACTCAAGAACAACCTGCGTTTGTTGTGCTAGATACCAAGTTCGTTACCTGACCTTATTTTGTATAACTCATTTTCAAGTCAAGGGACTATAACTGTTGAACTATACTGGAAACACGCTCCTAAAACGTGTCTTAATTTCGCCGAGTTAGCGAGGCGGGGCTATTACAATGGTGTTGCATTCCATCGAGTTATCCGGGATTTCATGATACAAGGAGGTGATCCAACAGGCACTGGTCGCGGAGGGGCTTCAATATATGGCTCTTATTTTGAGGATGAGATTCACCCTGATCTCAAACACACAGGTAGGCGACTTATTTAAGCTGTTTCCAAAACGTTTATTAGGTGCTGGTGTGGTTTCCATGGCAAACGCTGGTCCAAATACAAATGGCAGTCAGTTTTTCATAACCTTGGCCCCTACACAGTGGTTAGATGGGAAGCACACAATTTTCGGGCGTGTTGCCACCGGTATGAATGTTGTTCAACGCCTAGGTAAGAATGGCTTTCGAAATTAAAACCTTGTGCCTGTAGGTATGGTTGATGTTGATCAAACAGATAGACCGCGCGAAATGATCAAGATAAATCGTGCCAGTACGACTAATGCAGTGTAGTACACTTTCTGGCTCCATTCCTTGTATCAGTATCTGAGATAAAACGCATGTTTTTTGAAATTTTACCCACAACAAAGCGATGACTTAAATTTCAATTTGAGGGTAAAACGGACTAATTTACATGATTTGTCCAAGACGCATGAAGCGAATAAATGAGTTTCGCTGCGGCCTAATGATCGTAATATAGCTTTTTACTGTATGTAGTACATTGTAAGTTCAAAATGCCTCCTGAGTATCAGTCAGGTATGACCAGCTGTTGATTGGTTTTCGTCTATTCTGTAGGTAGGTAGGTAGGTAAGTACCTTGTTGCATGGGGGTGCCTAGAGCAGTGTGAGTTTACTGGTGACCACGAAAATCCGGAAGGAAAAAACATGAGCCGACGTCTCAGCAACCAGACGGGATATACTTACATTTAATAATAAGAGATAAGTGACAATGACGGAGCTTGACAACGAAAAAGTGAGGCAGTCTAAAAATCAAAACTGAAAGGTGAGTGAGTAAGATTTCAAATGCCTTACAATGTACTTCGAAAGTCGAATTTCGGTGTGACCACATTTGAAATCAGCTGTTCTCTGTGAGATATTTATGAATAGCTGCACATATTTATCAAACATCAGTCGTGTCAAGGAAACAATAAATGAAAAAATAGGTTCGGTTCCATCAGCTGGCTGACGTCGAGTGAGACAACTTTAGATCGATAACTTCTCCAAAATATTTGTATGCAAGGCTAAACGTCTCCTACAAGAATACCGAAAGGGTGTTTGACGATAAATTTGTAGTGTACAGGTTCGCGATAGTTGAAGTATGATTTGCACGCAGTCATATAGAGTAGGTATAAAGTCTTGTTAATCATTGGCCATAAAATACGTGGTTGCTAGTTCTTTGGATACACTGATCCCGTGCACTGAGCCTCATCTAAAACGGACTAATATTGCATTAATTCAGGAGTAGAAGAACAATATAAATCAGGAATCCTGGTGTACATATAATCTAACGTGAATGAGTCACCATTATTATAGTGAAATAGTAAGTCAACATCATTAAACGTGGCACCACTACTTGATTGTCCAAGTTGCCACACTTCACCACATCGAGCGAGAGTGCACTTAGATGAAAGGTGAAGGAATAAGGAAGACAGCAACGAGAATTTATAGAAAGGCATCGAAAAAGAGCAGTGAGGAATTCAGTACAAAGATTAAGATGGTGAGTGGATATATCTAAGTCTCAAACCGTTGGTTTTTGTTGTCACACGAACTCTAACCCTGAAGTCTACATTTCTCTTCATAGCTTGGACTACAGTCAGAGACTTCATGGACGGATGCTATTTTCTGGTCTGGCAGCTTCAAATGTTTTTCTGGCATGAACCTACTTCAGCTAACAGTGTAACGAGGCCACCTATGACTAAGCATACCTAACATATTTCTGGGCCACGTGATACAATGAAGGTTCACAACCTGACTGACTGACAAAATTAACGTAGAACCTCTCACACAAATGTATCGATTAAAGTCACCACACTTCACAAAAGTACACAAACAACAGGTGGATAGAAAAACTGTTATAAAAGTAACGAAAGAATCAAAAATCTAAAGATAAAGGTTAGCGTAAGTATTCAAGCTTCAGAAGATATTAAGTAGTGAATACATCTGCGCTGTTGTGATTGATTTTCAGCCATTATCATGATGGTCCCCAACCACTGACTCATTTCGTCTCGGGGACTTCATCGAGATAGGCCGCATCTCCCCACACGGCTCAAGCCAACAGTCAGAGACTTCATGGATTGGCACCACGTTTTGGTCTGGCCGCCCTGAACACTTCCATCTTAATCCAACTTCCCTTACCATGGCACGTCAAGGTAGGGGTGGCTAGGTATGCGCAGTACATATGCAAGCCATCTCAGTCCACTAGGGTTCAAAACTTCATCCACTGACTTGCCTATTACCTTTCTCCTGACCTCAACATTGCCCACGCGGTGACTCCACCACACGTGAGCAGCGCCACGATGGCATCTATGATCAAAATCCTGCAACCACTTCATGTCGTCTACTTTTAACGGTCATGTCTCACAGGCGTGCAATGTGCTGCAGCGCAACATACTCGTCCTTTGATAGATAGCTGGATATCTCGCTGACACCACAGCTATCTTAAGTTGTCAAATGCTAAATGCGGTTTCTGCATCAAAGCTAAGATTTCGTCATCAACCAGCCCATTCGGGCTGATGCAACTCCCCACCAATTCACTTCCTATAATTAAGCATAGAGTTATTGCAGATCAGTCCTGCAGCATCATCTTACATTTGACAGTTGCGAAACCCATGCCAAACAGACTCAGATTTCTGCTCGGCGCGTTCAAAAGACCCAGTACTTTGTCAGTCTTTACCTGTTTAGACAATTTCGTCTGTATATTTCAAGTTAACTAGATGACCTCTATAGAGTAGATTAATCCCTGTGAAGTCAAACATGCGTAGGGTTATGTCCACTAGTACGTCTATGATGAAGTTAAATAAGAATGATGACAGTGGACATCCCTGTCGAGCACCGCTAGTTGTTGTCAACTCTTCATAAAACGCCTGCATGAGTTAGAGTAGAGAGCTTTGACTAGCGTTATATGCTTTCCCCGCACTCCCTTTGCAGTCAGATACTGCCACAGCACCTCAAGGTCGACAGAGTCAAATTCCCCATTCAATTCAAGAAATATGACAAATTTTTGTTCGCCGGTAGGTGTGCCTGTGGTAGAATGTGTTGCAAGGTGAAAATATGATCCATGCACGCTCGTCCAGGCGTGAAACCTGCCTGGTTTTCTCGAGGTTGCTCTTCTCGACCTCCAGCTAGGTATCGGATAACTCTGCACTCTAGGACCTGGGACACAGTATTAGTCAAGCTAATTCCCCTCTAGTTATCACAAAATTTACCCTTGTAAACTAGGAAGATCATTTTAGTACAACAGTCTGACGGAACTACTTCTTATTCCCATAGACTACCTAGTACTTCCGTAATTTTAATTAGCTACTTCTTCCCTCCATCCTTGGAAACTTTTGGCGGAAAACTGTCAAATCCTGCTACTTTTCATCGTTTCAGATTGCATACGGCTTAAAGGAGAGTTGAAGGACCCACATCAACATCTCATTCAGGTTCAGGCTGGACTTTGGCCATCTAAAGCGTTGCTGAGGTCCACTGAACTGTGCTTGGAAGTTCTCCACCGAACGTTGTAGCCGCCTGTCCTGAGAGGTCAGCATTCGGTCCTTGTTGATGGTTTTACTCACTGTCCTTTTCTCGCTGGTATCCCTAACAAGCCTAAACAGTTGCCGAGTGTTACCCAACGTTAATCCCTCTCCTCCATCTCTCGCTTTCCCTACCTACCATTGCTCGCGATCGACGGGGAAATTCTTGATTAACTTACATTCAAGTTGCTCTTTGTCGTGATCAGAGCCAACTCGGACCAGTCTCACATCAATCAGTTCCGATGACGTTGTGGAAATCCAATGACGTTTGTTAACCTTCGGGTGTACGTTATCAACTGTCTTTTCAGCTGTCTCAACAACAGGCTTAATATCAGACTAGGTTTCCTCCTGGTGAGCATTACTGTCATGTTTAGATAAATGCTTGGCTAACTCTTCCTTGAATGCAGACGACGTCTTTATCTCCCAAATGACCAAAGTCTAGCTTCGCTATCGCTTGTTTTCTGCGACCTGTAAGGGACAGACACATGAACTTATACTAACGCATGATCAGAGTCCAAACTAGTACTCCAGAAAAAACGGCAATAACCACCCGTCCTCTCCGATGGCTTTCCATCATGTCACCAAGAAACCCCAACTACTGACTCCTGTTATCTCGACGACCGCAATCAGGTAGTCTACACCTCCTTGCATGGGCTGGCCCCACGTCTTTTCCTGGTCAATCTGAACCCTCTTCCAACCTAATCCGATTTCCAGAACTGCACGTTGAGGTAGGTGGTGACTCGCTACTCAAGTCCTAGCCACCTCAGTGGACGAAAGTCCACAACCTCATCTACCCATTTCCCTTCTTGGCCTAGAGTCCTTCGCCTGATCTCCACATTGCTAACGTGGTGATTCCACCAAACGCGAGCAATGCTAAGAAAGCACCCGTGATCTTTTCACAATCACTTTTAACGACTAAGTCCCGCAGCTGTATAGCAGGACAACGAACTGCAGCGTAGCATATTAATCCTTTAATAGATAGTCGGATATCTTGCCATTCAGTGCCGGAGCTGACGCAAGTTGGCAAATGCCGAACGGGCCTTTTGTATCCGAGCTGATATTTTGTCAGTGACCAGCTCATTCAGGCTGATGAAACTCCCTAAATGATTGAAGCGGTCAGTGCATCCCACCACTTCACTCCCTATCCTTAAACTGGGAGTAGCTGTAAACCATTTCTGAAGCATAATCTTGGATTTACTAGGTGCAAAACGCGTGCCGAACACGGACAGATTCCTGCCCAAAACTTTCAAAAGACCATGTATTTTGTCAGTGTTACTCAGCATTACTCAGCGAGATTTCGTCTGCGTACACCAAGTCAAAGAGATGTCTTTCAAGGATTATTTGTGAAGTACCTAGGCCATGCTTATTAGTGGTTGCGGACGATTTCTGGAGCATCTTACATCTGACAAGTGTAAAGCATACTCAGATTACTGCTCGGTGTTCAAAAAACTGTGTATTTCACCAAACTCACTTTAGAGCTTCATAATTATAAAGTCTTCAACTGAATGATGTGCCTAATTCCTCAGTGCCGTTAATTTCCCGCTTTAGTTCAAGCACTGGCATACATGTGATCGAACCAATACGTAATTACAATCCAAATACCTGCCTCAGAAGGAACAGCGATCCTCCCCTAACCTTCTCCAGTGACAACTGGTGGCAATGTGACCTAAGTGTCCACCGCTGAGTTGGTGTCCATGCACGCTACGTCAGATAGTAACTCCTCTGTCTGAAGTTATTCCTAACCAGAAAGAGGTGGTTGTCTGTTTACCGTTGTAGCAAGCGACCGTCGTTGTCTGTTTGTTCAGCTTGGATTCTGAGAGTGACTTCCTGTCTGACTTTGCCTTCCCACCTGTGCATCAAAATCATCTTACGACAACTGCTTTTGAACTCTTAGCTCTTAAATGGAGGCAAGATAGTTCTCAGCAGAACTTATTTTTCGCGTCCTCCGAACGTCAGTCATTAAGTGTTTAGGAAGCTATTACAAACAGACAGTGTGGACTCCAAATTCTTTTTCAGTTCTCACTCCTCGATCCAGTCGAACAGTGCACAACTGACTCGACTTTGATCCAGTTAAACAGTGCACTTAAAGCTACGTCTGCGCTTGCAAGACCACGAGGACTAGACATACGGTCGCCAGAAACTCGAAAGGTGAACTTCGTGGATTCATTACATTAGGCGAATTAGGTTAAGTGGATAACAGTAGTTGGATTCCACAGACACTGTTCCGTGAACCAGGATCTTATCAAGAGCTGGAAGAACCTAAGGATGGAGTAGAAATATTGACCGGGGGATGGGAGGAAATAGTAGCAGAAAAAGGAATTTAAGGTTGGTAGTGATGCGATGGAAATGGAGCGGTTGACACTTCCAGGCTGCTCACACCGTGAAAGGATACTTCCTGATGTATAAGTTTGGTCAGTGATTGAGGTGCGTGATAGCAGAGGCCAAGTGACATCTGTTCGGTGCCGGTCAAATATGACCTTGTTGTAAGCTTAAGATTGAAGGTTGTTGGTTTCAATTCACCTGCAAACCTATACTAAAGGTATCGGAAGACTACAAGGGAGAGAATTCTTCGGGTCCACCTTTTCTGACTCCCACTTCCGATAGTGAAGACAGTGTGATAGTGATGCTTGTTTGTGGGAAACACCGTACTGTTTTCACCCTCCATCCAGCAAGTAGTACGACTTCCCCTCGGATCCCCATCATAGCGTAGTAATTTACACTATGACGATAACTGCTTTCAGTTTTATCACTATTTAACTAACCTCTTTAGTATGGTAGGATCTTGAGTGGACAAGTCCTCGACCAATATAGCTCGTTTAGTCATTGTGGCTTCCAAGCTCGACCATCACGTAAAGATGGCAGCTACCGGTCTGAACATACGTCAGGGTGAAAGGTAGGGGAGTAAAAGTGTTAGCAAAGACTAATCACGAAAATTCGGTATGGTTAAGATATTCTGTGGATGTATCTGTACCACTACGATCGATTTTCAGCTATATCAACAAAACCAACCACAGATTTCGGTTGTCACATAGATGGCAATCTGGAAGTCTACAGGTGTCAAACCAACAGTCAGAGACTTAGAGGACCATATTTCAGGGTGGACAATCTTTGAGTACTTTGAACATGGAGTACCTTCAGATAGAATATATGTCGTAACATGACTTCTCACCTACATCCTTCCGTTAGAGTTTGAAATAATCAGGTATGATTGTTTTTTAAGACAGAAAATTGAAAGTATATACATTTAGAATTTCGCAATATTTGTGATGCTGTGTTTGATGTCAGGCGCCAAAGTATGGTCACACCACGTAACAGTGTGTAGTTTTTCAGAAATTAATGAACTTCATATTTTTGCCAGTGGTTGTATACACCAAGTGCACAAAAAATAATATCTTTACGGACTATAAGATAATGAAAATCACGGATGACGGCAACTGCACTTCAAATTATGCTCTAAGCATCCTAACATTGCTTATTTGATAGACCAAACTGCAGTTAGTTTGTTACTCGCATAACATTCATGCGGTTATAAGTGGAATAGACTGCTAAACCTCAAGGCTTCTGCCGAAGGTTGAAGTAGCCCTCATTGGTTATAGCTAATCTGTTAGTAAAGTCCACATAGGAAGAATTTTGATTCTTCCTTTTTTCGTCTATTTAAAAGAGTGCTTCTGGAGACCAAGAAGTATATTAAAGCCGGATGCAGTCAGGTTAAGTCCGCATTCGTAGATTGCTACGTTCACCAAAACGTTTTGGCGTTATGGAATATGCTCCACACTTACGTTCAACAGATTCTTAAATTTCAAAAAAGAAGCACTACCGATTACGTATGGGGAAGCACACTGCTGCTACAACCGATACAGTCAGCAGGACAAATCCATCCTCCAGCAATAAATTACTGTGATTCCTGCACGTGCTAGGAGGTCGTGTTCCTTCAGTCTCACCGCTATCCAGCAGGTTTTAATGGCGTAGTAATTCATCAAGAAATAAGTGCCACAACCGGTATACTTCAACCTGATCGTTACTAAGGTGGTTTGGGTTACGTGTCGTTGAAACACTTTTACAAAAATAAAAACCCGCACAAAGATTGGCACAACCGACAAAAAAGCATGAATTCACAACTGTTGGGAACACAGGACCACGTACATTCTCAGCTTGTACTTATCGATTAGATCTTAGGTCATGAAAAATAGGTATGCGTTGCTAGACACCTTGAATCTCTTTGATGACTTGTCCTATAGAATGGTTGTTTTGAACTGTAAGGTTTGGTGTATACTTAAATTGTATAGGGATTTCCAATACGAAATATTCCTTTAGGTTCCAAAGGAGTAGGCCGTGTTCTAAGTGTGATGTTTAAATGGTTTTGTGCATCGATTGTACGTCTGTTTCTTGCCACTGTTAATGGCTATCAAAAGTGGAATACAAATGCGTCATACATATACGATCAAATCTTGAGCACCATGTAGAATGCTAACAGTACACCAAAGCCATCAAGTGCCAAGTTATTTAATAGAGCTGTGAACCTTCATATGGAAAGATGACCTATGCCTGGTCAAGATCCACCTTAGTGGGGGATGAATAAGGTAGGAACCCCAGGATCTTTAAACCAGGATATGCTACAAAGCAAGAAGTTCGTTGCTGTCGGAGTTTGTAGCTTAAGTTTTGTAGTTGAGATTCGCACCATAGCTAAAGTAGGTCTTTTATTCATTGAGCGATGCAACTAGAAACTAAATACCGCAACAGAAGTACACCTATTTCCCTTATAAGTGTTGAATATCTACGTTTTATGTATCTCAGTTTCGCCTTACCCCTCAGAATCATTGATACTTTCTTCGTTTTTGGTTTTCCATTCGTATACTTATGTCATAGCCGAAACTGATATATGATTGTGCTTGACCAGGCGTCTGAGAGTGGACAATAAGATTAGTTTCATGGAACTATGTGGATATGGAATGCTTTATCGAAACAATCTGAACAATTTACACATACTCAATAGACAGACGACTTCCAACCAACCAGGCATTCACCCCCTCCCTACATACAGCCAAGATTTCCTTATTTTCTAGCACATAAGAGGTAGTCCCAAACGTCACTACTATAATAAGTGACGACTATCTTTTGAAAATATATGTGGGGCATCGCACAAATCCTGAAAATGGGAGCATCTTTTGGGTCAAGAAATATCCCCACCATAACTTCATCACACCTAGAGCTAAACATAATCATAGTCTTCAAGGTTTCTCTCTTGTTTCAATTCCCAGCATCTAATTCACCATTAGTAATTTCATACAGCAATGTAGTAGGCAAGCATTGTTGCCAATTATTGATAAAGTCATTACATAGTTAAAACCGTTAGATAGAAAATTCACGTCATATTTATCGAAATGAAACAAAATTAGCAAAGGCAGAAATTACTGTTTACATAAATTCAGTAAACGAAAATTCTCAAATGCATTTTGTAGCCGATTGCGTTCTGGATATACACTGTATATATCCATGGAAGTAGAAATTAAGCCAATTATGCGGTAAGTGAAGAGATGATTAGAAACGATAATAACAATAATAAAAACCGGAAATCAAAATGCTGGAGAAAATGAATAATTATATGGCTATGGAAGATAGTTATAGCATATGTCAAATAAGCTATTTCTTTTTCTTCATAGTTAAATTCCCTTGTCTTGCTTGTTCTGCAAGTTGTTTACGGCGCTCAAAAGCGGCTATTTCTTCTTCCAAGATACGTTTTTTCTCCTCAAGTTTCTTCTTTTCTTCTGCATGAGTCTTTTTCAGGTTTTCAAATTTGGTTTGGAGCTAAACGAACAAAGTGATTAAATGAACAAATAACTTGAAAGCTCTTAAAGTAATATTATTACGGACATTGACATGCGTAGAATTTAGATATTGTGAGAGAGTATACTTCAGTTACAGTCCGTTTATTACATAAATCACAGCAAAACACTATTTGTAGATATCATGGATAGCGTGAAGTAGTCAACGTAACTGTTTTATTAAGTCTTGTAGTTGGAACAAGGCATGATGGGTCAACTACCCAGCGTTTCAGCATCTTAAAACCAGAATAAATATAAAAAAAATAGCTTGTAAGTATTTACTTACGTGTGACGAGTGTTGACATATTTGCTATGATATACATAACTGACATACTGTAACACTCATGAGCTTTCAAATCTTTTCTAACTGGTTAGAGGAGTTCACTTACTGAGTACCAATACGGACTAAATAGAGTTCTTACAAGAAGCAAACAACATTACTGCTCTTCCAAAGTATTGGCTAAGTGGAATGTATGACTGCTTGTTAACTGGAATACACCACCAAATAAGAAGTTATCAAGATTATCTTCAACTAATGGTCTCTGTTGTCTCTACGACCATACTCAGAGAGTCCACATAACTCAGACCAACATTTGAAGACTTCACGACTTGATATCTCGTTTTAATTTGACCATCATTAGCTTTCTTCCTACACCTTTCATCTTATTACCTTGTTACCTGATATGCTGATAGTAGGTGTAGCAACTTGGACCGTTAAGAAGTAGTGTCTGGTCTTATATTTATAATGATGATTCTTCCTACATCGACCAAAATCGCACGCCGAGATAGGAGCAACATAGGTCCAAGCCACCACAGTCAGCGAAAGCTAGCTCACAGCTTTATCGACTAACTTGCTTCCCTTCCTCCTGCTCCTAATCTAAACGCCAATTGATTAGAGATCATTTAATTCAACAGCTTAGATAATTTTTCAAAAAAACATGAAACTAGCTCTTGAACGGAATTCAGCTGGTTAACTACCTACTACCAAGTAAGTAGTTTCTCAAACTATAAGACGCTTAAAAGACACTAGGAAGGAAGAAAACGATAGAATTATGTTAAAATAAGCAAATTCAAGGGAATAAAGACGGAAACAACTAAACTAACGGAATACACTGGCCATAGTCCTGCATAACATTTTGCGTCAAAACGTATGGTGTAATGTCTGAATATGACTGTATATTTTGTAAAACACTGTTGACCTTATCTAGATTAATCTAGTATTATTAATTTACACGCAGCACGTTTGGGTATTTAGACATTTTCCAGTCACAATAATAAAAAATCTGGAAAACTATCAGATTGAGTAGAAGAAAAGCAATTTTTTATCTTTCTGATCATACTTTTGAGGAAAGAAGTACTAACCATAGCCATAGTTTCTTCTTTCCATAATAAGTATACTTCGCATATCCACTAAACAGTTGATATTCGCTAATGTGGTTTCACAGTACTTCACCTTTTCATTACACAACCGGACGAGTCATTAATTTTTCTTACCTCCAGTGAATTTGCATTTTATTCACCTCATGTTCATAAAAGATGAGTATTTAACAAATAAGTTATACTTAACTCAAATGTAAAATCCAAATGGGTTTTGGTCTTCAAGTTGGACGAATACAGACTTGTTAAGAAGTACACCACTTTATCGATCTTCTTTCATGCATTATTAATGATGATGATTTCAAAGTGAAAGTTTATTTTAAGTTTTGGAGACACTTGACAGTTTTTTTTCTGTCGTTAGCAGAAAAACAAGTGTTCTTGAAATATAGAAAAATGGTTCAATTTGATCGAATTCTCTTAGCAGTATGCACTGACTCAATTATATATTGTCAGTAAACAAGATTATTTATCAACGAAATAGACATTGTGGAGATATAATCATACTGTAATTTAACAGAATAAAACATTAGTTCCCATGTCCTGTCAGTTTTACAGAATAAAGTGAGAAATTCAACAATAAGAAACATAACGCTAAAATGACAGGAATGTATGTAAGTGACCGGCATTTTGTTAACCAAGGATTATGATCTCGACTTGGTGTGTTTGAAACACAAGATGCAAAGATGAATGATAGATAAATGGACCACCGTAGGACCTTACACTGCAGTGCATCGATCCAAACTACACACACCGCGGATGCAAAGAGAAGGAATATAAACAGAGTAGAAAAAATGTCAGTGATACAATCAACAGGTAAATATTGCAGAAAATGTTCACAATCTCGACGATGACAACGAAACAATACACTTGCATCAGTTAACAAGGTTCACATGGTCCAAACTGATAGGTACTATACTTTTGCATATCGTGCACAATGGTCAAAGACCGGTTATCTTTTGCTGATTTTGTAATATAATTTCTCTGATTTCATGAGTAATAACTCCAGGATTCAATAAAAGAGAAGGCTAAAACTTGATCATAAACCTATGACAATGACACCAGGCAACTTAACAATTCAAATCGCAATACCCATTCCTTCATAGTACTGTTAGCAGGTTATAAGGAAATGCAGAATAATGTCATTAAAGTGAACGATAACTCTAAACAGGTGGACAAAACAACAGATATCAAATATTATCTTACTAAGCGTACTTGAATATACCTAGTCCTCAGATTATAAACTAAATAATTTCTCAGCAATACTACGAAGTATGAAAACGCGAGCTATCAACTTCTGTGCATATAAGGCGATATGAGCCATCAATTGTGCTCGATACATCATCCTACTAAGAATTCTCAATGTCACGCAAATTTACTCAGTAATGATCATGAGCACAGTTATTTTTGTTTGCAGTGTGATAACAACCAAAGATAATTTCCTGTTAAATGTTTGAAGCCAAACAAAATACATCCACAGGTGCTGCGACGAATTGGGTTCGCAATGACAAAAAGTCAGTGAAATCAGACATGAATTTAGGTATCAATTAGTAACTGTAGTGGATTCTTTTAGCTGTTTTACAACTAATAACAGTCACAACGTCCATAAATACATACAAGTGGATTTCTACGACGCCTGCTTGATCCAGTAAATGATTTATTTTGTACGACGATTATGCCTTTAGCTATGCCAAATGAACACTTCTACCGTTAATGTATTACGTCTTCCAAGAACCTACCTCACGTTCTGCTTCTTTTAAAACCTGTTCCTTCTCTTTAACGCGTTGAACAAACAATTGTCTCATTTCCTCTTCTTTTTGTTGTAACTCTTTCCTCTGAAGTTCACGGCGCTTCTCGTAAGTTTCCTAAGGAGAAGAGAAAAAATGCCATTAAAGTAACTAAAAAAAGGTAAGTTTACAATGATAACAAATTATTCCAATTGAAGGGAAATCCGAGAATTATAGAAAACACCAAAGATGCTAAACCGAATACCATACATATATTAAGAAAGTCATTCGAATGTTACAGTTTCTCCAGTTTTATGGGAAGATGAAATAAACTGAGTATCAACAAACAAACTACGCTCTTATGCAATGATTAAGTGAAGTGCTAAAATGTAATGCAAACGACCTCACCAAATAAATGAAGTCAATCCAAAAACACAACTGAACTCGTTTCAAAATAGAATCTGTTTGGTTTTTGGTTCCAAAACCACGAATGGAGGGCTTTTGTCTCTTGTTGCGATGCAACTACTATCGAGAAAAGACGTGAGATTTTTTCTGCCAGCCTTTTACGGCATCAAAATGAGTAAAAACCTAATTTGATTTCACACAAATTCACCTTTCTTCCCGCCCTCCCAATAAGTCTGATTTTTTTAATTTCCTAATAATTATGAGATCCCCTGGTGTACTACTCCAAAATTTCCAGCTAACTGAAACAAATTATTGCTTGAAATAAAAAGTACACAGCAGAGCCATTACAAAATGGATAAAACAGGGGAATTTAGTTGCAACGAGATTATTCCAAATATCCTGAGGTAGCGATATTTCTAATCCTAATGCAGTTGTTGGCAATGTTATGAAGGTAAATTTAATCGACGTAGGATATACACTAAATTGCACACCACAACTAATGTATGAAGGCTATTTGGGTGACACTATATGATTACTGAAACAGTAGATGGGATGCAGTAAACACCTACAATACATTGGATTGAAGATGTGTCTAGATTGCTAAGTTTATGGACAACAGCACTTGGTATCTCTTTAGATGGGAAAAGAACAGATTGCTATTCAATCCTTGACGAAAGCTATGCAGCACTTTTAAGGGTTTTTTATCAAATGAATACCTAATTATGCTTAACGATACCATATAACTTGACCGCTGTAATTACCAAATAAACGTAGCGAATGAACCATTAAGTTATGTAGCTGAGTACAATCGAAAATGTTTGAAGTCGCAGATTTGAGACTAGCGGCAAGAATAACAAGATTTTCATTTCATGTCACCCATACTACTTTTTACATAGTCAACATCTCCACTACGCGAAATTCAGATCCCTTGAGAGGTTAAGTGAAGGATTTATTGGGGAATTGGGTCACAAAAGCGTACGTCCAAGCAGAAGTTGGCACAATCTACACAAACTGGAAGTCCCTGATTAATATTACTTCTTTTAAAGATTTTTCGTTCGAGTTCTGCATAGTGCTGTGTAAAACCAAGTCTGAGTTAGACACTATGGAAATGAGGAAAGTTTAATGCTGACTTCACACAGAAAACATGTTTAGTCTAAGATGTTAGTAGGCGCATTACAATAACGTTTAGTACAATGACGTGCAGTATTGAACGAAATCTGGTCAAATATTTCCAATCTATCAGAATTTACTTTTTTTTTTCTAACTTTTCGTGTTTGTAATACAACGCAGCTAACTTAGCAATCAACATTTTAAGTTATTGGCGAGTGGCGTAGAATTTTATGAGCTTTAAATTTTGATTTGTGCTGCCATGCAGTTGGGAAAAGTCTTACTGAACAATTAAGATGTTATTTGATCTTTTATCTGGTCCATTCTTACGTTTGTGAAAACTGTATATATGATTTATTTCTGTGGAATAAAATCGTCCTTGCAGTCACAGGTTAGTCTTTGTCTTCTCATATTTCTTGGTTTAGCGTACAGTCGTTACCGTACTCAGTGTATAAGTGTCCTACTGAGTTCAATATCGTTATTATATCAGCATCTTATTACACCTAGTTACTTCAGTTTCAGTCAATGGTCTAATGATTTAAGCTATATAGTCAAGCATTTGACTCTTCTCCAACGACCCTTACTCCATACAATAAGATAATACCGCCTCCCCCATATAATATACACATGACTGAAAGCCTAGTTTACGAACCTACGCATGAATCGCGTTTTGGAAAACAGTACAATAAAAAATTATTGCGAGTTCTGATGCTAAATGATTTATCAAAACAACGTGTTTATAATACAATGGACATCATAAATCAATAAATCCTTACAAACCTGCATATGAGGATCATAATTATTTGGTGCTTGGTTCTACTCAATGTCGGATGAACAATAAGTTTTAAATCGGCACACTTAATCTCACTAGTTAGCATGTTTTTGAGTCACCATACAGTTCCACAGCGAATATTCGGGAATGGTGTATTGACTTCGTCAGTTAGTGGCACTCATTTTGACAGAATACGCAGAAAGTTTTCTAAATTAGATGCATACGATTTAGTTGGCATTTACCAAATCGCTTTATTAGTAATGACCATAAAACAATCTTTGAGAGTGGATATAAGTCACTATTTGTTTGAATAACGGTTTGCAATTGCATATTTGATGAACTAACCAGGTACACTCTTTTCCCAATCAAACAACGTAAGGAAGAGGCATAACAGGATCTCACTTATCCATCCATTGACTTAGCCACGGATTGTGTTATAGAGATGGTAAACAAGTGTGTGCAATCGTTCTCAAAATATAAGGAAGCTTTTGTTGTAAGCTCGAAATCTATCACGGTAGTGTAGATTCACCAACCTATTATCATTATCGGAATTTTGAACATTCTCATCAACCATTAATTCTTTCTCTTTCCTTTTATACATTCTCGTATACATCAATATCATTCTTTTCTATTCCTTTTCTGATCGTATGCTATTCTGAAGTGTAGTAATTTGAGCCGATGCACTTTTGTGCAAGGCTCTATGATGACATACTTATCTTCGTACTGAGTCAGACGAAATACATGAACTGCGAAAAAATGCGTCGTATAAACGTTTAGTATGATAATTTAAACCGCGCAAAACGACATATGCTAAGGGGATTAGATTGGCATAGCAGAAATCAGCTTTTAGAAGTGCCAAATGAAATGACTTGCAGTTAACTTTAATTGCATAATCATATTTATTTCTCTAAACTTCCCTTAAAAAGATTCCACCTATTCCTACAGTATTAATTGCGTCGAAATTTTGCTTACTCGCTGCTGCTTGGCAACCTAAGTACTTGTCTCTTTTAGACTGATTACTGGTAAGAACTCTGACGATTGTCATACTGTCATAGGCAGTACACTTTAAGTTACCAATACATTTTGGGGAATACAAAAATTCAGCATAACCGGCTAAGTAGTGCTCAGACCTCTTGTGTATACGGATAATGTACCACTTAGAACAAAAGGATATTGCAGAAGCCACGTTGTCAGCCTAAGGAATAACCCAAAACAACGTCCGACTTCATCGAACACTATTTCTAATATCGAACTATTGTTGATATGAAATGGGAAAGTCGATTCAAAAAAATCATTCAGGTGTGGTGGGGAAAATATACGAAAACTTACTTGAAGTGACATTTTCTCATCATCACGAAATCCCATTTCAATTAAACGTTGGCGTCGATACGTTTCATAGTGGACTCCATGTGTACGTTCACGTAAATCTTCCATATTCACACGCAGCAACATTTCTCGCAGTCGAACGAAATCACAATGACTCTCATTCTCCACTTGAACTGAACCCCAGGGATATTGTCGTACGCGTACTGTCTTGCCATTGACCTTAGTTTCTTCTGAGCTACCCACAACAGCGAATGGTATGTGTTGCTGTAAGTATGCATTAAAAATAACTTGCCATAACTTTAGAACCATATAGCATTTGCTCAAGTCAAGACTCGAAAAACATGATCACTGTGAGAGTCAAACTTGACAACTGTTTGGTGTTTCCTGAGCTTTGGGGTTTGCTTTGAACGTTTAATAACCAGGCTAGGTTATTTCATTAGGGCTTACTTTATATAGAAGTGCAGTTACATTTACAAAGCCTATAAATTATTGCCATAAAGGTATTAGTTTTTTTTCAATCGGTGAGCCACAGGTTTAAACCTAGGCTGCAATTTAGATAGCTCAGACACATCAGAAGTATAACTGGAAATGAAACCTGTGCAAGTTTGTTGAGTGGCATTACCAAATTATTAAAACCTATGGGTTAAATATTTAAGTCCCTCTATATCTTTGATCTGCCCAATCTGGTAGGCTTACTAAAATGAATAGCCTTAAGTAGTCTTAAACCTGAACTGCTGATAACACAGAAGTCTATGTTCTTGTCCATGGAGTATAAGAAAGTATTCAGATTCGGCTAAGGTTGAAGTTAAGTACACCAGAAGTCCCACACTTACACATTTAGTAAATGCAAACCACAACTTTGATGCTAATGTCAGTCTCGCTGTGATATATCATGTTTCAAAGACAATGTTCTGGGGAATTTATCGACACGTCCTCATAAATGAAGTTGTGACAATAAAATTAATCAAGTCAGAACCATATATTTGAAAGGTGAGTGACTAAATATAAGTCGTCTTCTAACCTTTAAAAGACTATATACTGCTTCCACATCCCTACATTTCTTTTCAGTTATCTCTTTCAACATGGTTTTGACTTTGCTTCCCATTTTATAACTTTCTATGATGATGGACAATATTTAGAGTTTACATGGATGACTTTGATGATGCGTCATGTTAGCTGGATGGTTGAGTCGCTAAGCTTCCACTGTTTTTCTAAACATCATTAGCACTGAATTTAATATGTAGTACGCTAACCGAATTTCTGTGTGGGTGGTAAAGCAACTCATCCTATATCGCATGTTATTAGTTACTTTCTTTGACAGCTCTTTTCATTGACCACACACACTTGCCTACTAAAAGACTATAGTTGTCTAAAGGTAATCAATAAGAAATCTAACATCTTGGTTCAAGCTATTTGATAGTTATCAGCGAATTGCGTAAACAGCCAAAAGAAAATCTATGGCACCCTGAGATCCTAAAACTTGAGTCATTCAGAACCAGAAAACTTAAGACGCAGTATTTGCCAGGATCAGACAAGAAACCTAGACTTAGACCTTTTTACTAACTACTAACAAACATCTAACACATGATGTGGTGTTACTTAGCTTACTGTTCATGTTGCAATATTTAACAGATATGAGTTTTTTCAGATGAAAGAATTCAAGTATCGTCACGGTAACTGTTTGATAGCCGATTGCAGATAAGACTAAAAAGCATACAAGGGTAGGTAAAAACAAATACTTCAGGCATTAGATGTTTGATGTACCGGTGTGTGATCATCTCTTCTTCACTGATATCAGCCTTTTTATTGCAGAAAAAAACTGGAAACGCTTAGTCCTGAAAGTACCATATTTAGCTCGGCTTTGGGAAGGATCTATTCATATGACGAGTGTCAAATGGAATGAGAGGGGTGTCCTGCATTTAACTTCGAGCCCACTAATTATGATTATGGTTGAGGGCGATTCGCCGACGATAAATACGACTAAAAATACGAAGCCCGGTAAAGAACTTCAAAAAGGACATAATTGACTAGTCTTTCAGTAGGTCCATTCAGAGCTTTGAAGCTGTATGTCTGCGTTACGACAGAAAACAGCTCTAATACACTTTTCTACAGGAACGTAAAGAAGAAATAAGCTTACTTCATGTTCACCCATGAGATAACTATTATCTACACATTCAAAAGTAGAAGGACCTCTCATAACCCTAATACAACAATGCTCAACCCACTTCTTACTGGTAAATTGAAAGCCTTTAAAAATATGCATAGAATCCCATTCAAAAAAAAATAATACCGTTTAGCTACACTAATCAACGAAACTTACATTCATAATGCTGTTAGTTTCACTAACAGCCTCATCATCAGTAGGAAATTGATAGATACCAATCTCGTTGGACTGTATCTCACTGAGAATCTAGGATTGAATTGATCAAATACATTAGTAAAATTTCACAAAGAAACATACCCTTGCTTTAAACTTTTGCAATTCAGACTTGGTAATGGTGTCAGATTTCGCAATAATGGGAATAACATTCACTTTATTTTCCAATTTTTTCATTGCAACCAAATCGATCGATTTAAGACTTTAAAAAAGAAAAAGGAAATACAAAGCAGTTAATAACAATTAGACGACAGGATGAGAATACCATCTGAGAAAAAGCAAAAATAAGATCATAAATATATATTTGCTTCTGTACTAGGATGAGGCATACGTTTTTATAATGATGGACCAACCAAAAATCAAACTAAACTTGTGATCAAGTGACTGAAAGTCGTTTTTATGCCAACAACGAAGTCAAATGAAACCCAAAGTGTGCTACAGTGTAAATCATGCATGTGAAACACTTTGAGTGCTAATCATGGCTCCCTGCTTCAACTCAAGCAGTCGACTTATGGGGAGTCGTTGCCTGAAGCGATAATAACTAGTGATGCTCACTAGGTGTCAGCGTCTGTGCTTAGGTTTGGTACACAAACGTGTTAACAGGAATCACCACAGGTACCTCCGACTTTTCAGGAGTTGACTTGCCCCCAAGGCAATAAGTTAAGTTGGAGTACGTAGCCAATACAGTCCTGTTGGGCGAAAGTGCTGACAAAATGCAGTCCTCTGGAGGCATTAGAGCAGAAATATTTGTCCGATGTCGGTTTCCCATCAGCTAATTGGAAGATGATGGTTCAACAATGGTTTGAACGGACTCGTAGTTTAAGGATAGAGAGTGAAGTGGTTGGATAAAGTGACCAATTTATCTACTTGGAGAGTTGCATCAGTCCAAATGGATTGGTGTATGAGGTCTCAGATCGGATACAAAAAGATCCGTTTACCATTGGTCAACTAACGCCACCTATGGCGCCGGTGAGATATCCGGATAACTATCAAAAGATGAGTATACTGTGCTGCATTTCATTGAGTCCGATTGTACGCTGAGATTTGATCGGTGAAAGAAAAGGATATGAAAAGATTACATGTTTTTGACCACAGATGTTTCCGCAGCATCGCTTATGCATGTTGGAGTCAGAGTCTGTCTTGGCTGCACAAACCTCGGTAGATGGAACACATTTTGGACCCGTGAATCGACTGGAAGTCAACTGACTGTAGTAGCTTCACGAAAGGACAATGAATACTTTACCCAACATGGTTATTCACATGTTACCATTTATCGCGAAAGTAGAATTGTAGTTGAGTGATTTAAGCATTTAAACTAGTAAATAACAAGTTTAGAGACCCTCTTAACTTTCTGAGGCTTCTGAAACAAAGACCCTAACGTAAAACCTTGCAAAAAAGTGCATTAGTTCTGGTTGTCATATTTCACAAGAAGAATAAGAACAGTATGATAAAAAGGTGGTCAGTGTGTGAGAGTAAATAATGTAGATGATTGATCATTGTAAGACTAAGAGTGAATGAATCTAGATCAATATATTCTACTCTGAATAACATCAAATCTACGATAACTGGTACGTAACATTACCGGACACCCCATCCAGGCTGTCGCACAGTAGGTACGATTCACAGCTTACTCCACGAACGTGTTACAATACCTGAAGCATTCAAAGGTAGAACATTACGAACAAAGTAAAACTCGAAATCCCGAATCTTAACCGGAAGTTAGTAGAGTGAGATATACAAGTCCTAAGAGATCTTTCGTCGACGCTATTTCATAAGGTACAGAAATATCCGACTAACTGCCAAAGGACGAATATACTGCTCTACTGCAGTCCATCTTGTCCTGTTATACGGCTGAGACATGGTCGTTAACAGTAGAAATGAATCGATTGCCACGTAGCATTTGTTGCGTTTAGTGGAACCACCGTGCGAATAATGTTGAGGTCAGGGGAAGAGTACTAGGAAAGACAGGCAACTTGATTGATAAGGTGAACTTTAGTCGACTGAGGTGTATATAGGTATAACACAGCCACCATGTGTACATTTATGCACGAGGCAATGAGCCACACCTACTGTGTGAGGGATAGTGATACTACCTGTTTGCCCAAACCTCGGTAGGTGGGGCGCGGTTCGAACCCGCAACCCAATTGGTTGATAACTAAATCTCTAAACCAAAGCTCTACCGAGGTGGCTTGGATGTGTGCTGCGCATGCCAAGCCACTACCCGCCTCGACATGCAATGCTAACAGAAGTTGGATTAGGTTGCAAGAGGGGTCAGGGTGGTCTGACCGATCAGAAACGTGCAGGAAACAAGATGGCATTACCCGCTTTAAAAAAACTATGAACTAGTTTATTATCTATAGCCACATTGCACAAATTTTAAGGATTCAGCCATATATACCTCAAAAAACGATCTCACAAAACAGCGTTGGTTCAAATAGCAACACTGAAACAACAGAGAGAAAGTCAATGGAGATACAGAGATAGTGCAATAAGTAATAAGGAGAAATGAGGTGAGGGAAAGTATATAAATCAGGAACGTACCGTTCCACGCATATATACAGTATGGAAGTATTTGCGCTGTTGTAAATAATTTCGATTTCACTAATGACTTCTGACTAAACATTTGCCGATAAAATTCACTTGCATAACCTATACTACTTTATTTGGTTTATCAAAATAATGAACTTAACAAGATGCCTATCTTGACCCTACCAAGCCGATTCTATTCTAATAATTATTGCATTCACAACAGGTAGTTTTCTAGTATACGTAACATTCCGTCACAACCATGTCCCAATTATTTGTCTCTCCAAATCTTGTACAGTTCCTCAGTCTATGATTATCCACTTTCTCCATACATCTTTTTATTTCACTTAGTGATCCCTTGTTGTTCACCTGATTTCATAGTACTAACAAATGCAAAAGTATGAAACGAACCTTCTAAGATCTATTTTCTTAAACGGTTGATAACCCCACCACAAACAGCTGATAACCAACTCAAGAACATCGGTTCGAGAACGTTGTGCATTTCTCGCCATGTAGATTATGCTGTAGATTCGTTGGAAAGTCAAAAAACCTTAAGTTGCACAACACATTTACAAGCTCCTGAACCACACAATACGACCTCAACATAATTTTTGTTCAGCTGGTCGACCTAATCGACTGGTGTATTGACTGCCTATTAAGAACTAAGTAAGGGTTAGGACACGTAACGTCTCTAAGAAGTAAGCCACACTAGAAGGAGAGTAATTGTACTACTGAGGTGTTAGAACTTCAGAAGATATAGTTGGTTTCGAATTAATGAAAGAGTGCTTAAGATAAAAACTTGCAGAAAAACCTTATTATGTACAAGGAATCAGATGGAAAGTAGGCGCGATCAGTTACTATAGACAGGAGCCTAAGTCATACCTGAGTACTATACAAAAGAAAATAATTGGCAAGATTTTCTTAGCATTTAAATATAAATACTTGCTGAAAATGTTATTAACAGAAAAACCTACCTATGTCCTGTAGGAGCAATGAAGTAGAGACACACATGGACTCTTGTGTCATGAAATGTGTGCATAGACCTTTTCATCTTAAGTTCCTCCTGGAGATAGTTTTCAACTGGTTATCGATATAGTCCACAACAGGTTTTATGCTAACAAATATAAAGGGAGTCAAAACATTACTTATTTTCTTTGTTAATCTGATCACCATATCCACAGGTTTCTACCACTGTCAGCTTAAGTTTAACATTTGCTTCCTTGAGGTCTAAGAAAATGTGACCAAAGTAGAAATCCTACCATATGTGACAGCTTTCAATTTAGGGTCTGTTAAATCATGTGATGATGGGTTGAAGTCAAATTTCTGGTTGAAAAGTGTTTCAAGCAGTGTAGATTTTCCAATCCCAGTCTCACCTTCCGAAAATTACTTATAAGTAAACTTCAAAATAGACGTACCAACACATAGAATGTTAAAAACGAATCCCTGGCTGATAGCCTTATTGACTAGTTGATCCGGCAGGCTGTCAAAACCAACATGTCCAGTTAGTTTCAAAGTACGTACATCGGGGGGCTAACATAACATAACGGATACTCAACAAAGTCATACCAGAGATTTTAGCACATCCGCGGTCATTTTTTGAATATATACAGTTCAAGAACGTGGATGTCCAATATGTTGTTAAAGTTTGTCCTGGAAATCTTAATGAAATAGAACCCTCATGCTATACAGAATAGAAAAACTAAGAATATACTAATAATTTAAATCGAAATAAAAATTTATTGCGGTGAACAGAACCAATCAAGTTTTACGCAACAAATTTGTGAAGTTTTGCATTGATGACAGAGGATCTGGCCAAGTGACGGGCCATGAGCTCTTTGATCCCATGATCTCAGTAAGCCTTCTGGGTGTCATGGTCTACTTCTGAAAACTAGAGTTGGTTTTAGCTGGGATCCATCCAATATTCAATATCTGTTTAACAAGCTTGTGTAAACAGGTTGATTTCTTCTTCCTTGCTTCTTGTTCTTGCGGAACGGTTTCAGGTGTTTGGCGGACTCCGGTGCAGTAGATCCAGCTACTCGTCTGCTGTAGCTCTAGTATACAGGACAGGAGGTTAAGTGTCGGTTAGTTCGCCTTGGACTGTGGTACAGTTGGCTTTTTAGGATTTGTCCTGGTGCGAACTTGACAGACGCAAAGACCAATCACTAATTATTCGAACTTGTTATATACCCACGAATACGAGACCAAGGAAGAACACGATAGCGTAGTCGGATGGAATAGTATATTTGGATGGTTATGCCAAAATACCGATGCGTTCCAACTAACTGGCTAGAGAGTCGAATACGAGCAATGCAACGTAACACGACAGCGTGCCAAATGGCGAGGATGCTTGACCGGATGCCTTCAGCTTAGCGAGTCCAGTTAAACTATCAAGGTCAGCATCAATGTCGAAGTCGTCAAACCCTAGGCTATTGATTTTGGGGAAGTGTATGACGCTACAGATCACTCCCCCCCTAGTGGGTTCGTGAGGACCCTAAGACGATACCAGCCGGAAGTAAAAACCCAGTGGTTTCTCCACTGGTAAAACTCTCCGATGGGCTCACTGCGTGAGGTGGCCCCTGGTTGTCTGAACCTTATTCTAGGGTGTCGTGGCGATTAAATAAATAAAATACAATAAATGAAATTGTACGTCGGTCGCGGTCATCTGTTCCTTTCGACGTTCCGTCCAGTGCTCGTTGCACCTGGAATATAAATAAAAGTCTTTAATACCACGAAAACGTTGCGTAAAAATGGGAATTATTTATATATAAACGTGTCGAAAAAGAAAAATTTACGCTTATCTTCGCCGTTTTTTTTAGTTTTTATTACATGGTAAATAAAAATTGATATAAAAAGGCAAAGTGTACGAGGGTTTGTGCCGGTAAATAAGAAAAATAGTGCCTCGAAAAAAAATGGTTGGCACACACATAGCTAAGTTGAATATGACTTCAGGTACTCTGGGAACCTGACGGTTCGACCTGATCGTGTTTTTTGTTGCGCCGCTGGTTGTTGCAGCTGTGCATTACCAGGCACATCGTCGAGAATTTCGATAATTGAGTCATCCGTCGGCCGGATGTAGCGAGCTGAAACGTCACTTACAATGGGGTTGCCTTCGAAATAAGCTGGTTTCAAACGGTCGATACTGACAGTATCTTCGCGTCCGCCTCGCTCAATTACATAGAATTTCTCATGTCGCTTAATCACTTTGAACGGCCCGTCGTAGGGTGGTTCAAGTGGTCGACGAACAGCGTCGTGGCGAACAAACACGTGTGATGTCTTCTGTAAACTGGGGTGGACGAAAACATCAGTCGTTTGCGGTCTAATCGGAGAAGGCCTAACTGAACGCATTGCGTTTGTAAGCCTAGTCACATAAGATGCCCTATCGGAAACATGTTTGAAAGTTGAAGGGGAAACAAACTCACCTGGTAGGCGAAGAGTGGTCCCATAGACGAGTTCTGCAGGAGTGCATCCAGCATCAACTTTCAACGCGTTACGAATACCTAGTAGGACTAGAGGCAGAGCCTCGGTCCACTGAGGTATGTTTGTAGCTGAAAGGGAAGCTTTCAGCTGTCGATGGAAACGCTCTACCATGCCATTTGCTTGTGGATGGTAGGCTGTCGTTCGGAACCGAGTGCAACCTAAAAGTGCCGTTAGAGCGTGAAATAGTCCGCACTCAAATTGGCGCCCACGGTCGGTTGTGACGTAGGATGGACATCCGAAGTTCGCGATCCATCTTTCGACGAAAACACGAGCAACTGTTTCGGCAGTAATATCTTTAATGGGTACTGCTTCCGGCCATCGTGTGAAACGATCAACACAGGTGAAAAGGTAGGTACATCCATTAGATTCTGGTAGGGGTCCTACAATATCTATATGGACGTGGTCGAAACGCATGTCTGGGGCTAGAAATGAGCCTAAAGGGCTTTTCGTGTGTCGCGTGACTTTACACTTTTGACAAGCTAAGCACGACTGGGCCCACTCCTTAACGTCTTTGTTCATCCCAGGCCAGCAGAAACGTTGTGCGATAAGCCTAATGGTGGCTCGTACACCTGGATGAGAGAGTTTGTGCAACGTATTGAAGACGTTGCGTCGACAACTCTTCGGAACTATTGGGCGTGGTTGACTAGCAGAGACATCGCACAAAATTGCATCCTTGTCTGATCCAACAGGACAAAGTCGCAGTTTGAGAGTTGTGGACGACAACTCATGATGCAGCTCAAGGTCTTCCTTTTGACGCCGAGCTAGTTCAACGAGATCAATACCCTCGATATAGTTTATCGAAGCTATTCGAGATAGTGCGTCGGCTGCGGAGTTGTTTGCTCCAGAAATGTGGCGGATGTCTGACGTGAACTGGGAAATGTAATCCAGCTGTCGCGACTCACGAGGGGAGTATTTGTCAGACGCCGAGCTGAGGGAAAACGTTAACGGTTTGTGGTCTGTGAAAATAATGAAATCACGACCTTCCACAGAATGTCGAAAATGGCGTACAGAACAGTACATGGCTAGGAGTTCCCTACCAAATGTACTGTATCTTGTTTCCGCGTCTTGCAGCCGCCTCGAGAAAAAGGCTAACGGTTGCCACTGGTTGTCAGTCAACTGTTGCAAAACTGCTCCAATTGCTGAATCAGATGCATCAACAGCAATACTCAGAGGAGCATTGGGGTCATGATGCATAAGCATGGTTGCGTTCGAAATGGCTTCCTTGACTTTGGAGAAAGCAAGTCTAGCCGCGTTGTCCAGAGACACGAACTTCGCAGTTCCTCGAAGTAGATCTGTGAGTGGTCTCATGACAGAGGCACAGTTAGGGATAAACCTTCGGTAATAACTTACCAGGCCATTGAAAGTGCGGAGATGTTTCACAGTGGTCGGCTCTGGATAGTTTGTGATAGCCGCCACTTTATCTCTCAATGGGCGTATACCTTTGTTGTCAATGGTATGCCCAAGGAAGCTGAGTGATTCAACTCCTATTTCACACTTCTGTAAGTTAACTGTGATGCCATGTTTTTTGAGTCTTTCGAATGCGAGGTCCAAATGTTTAAGGTGTGTTTCCTTATCTGGACTCGCAATTAGACAGTCATCTATGTAGACATGAACAAAATTCAGACCACGGAAGACGTCGTCCATAAAGCGTTGGAATGTTTGTGCTGCATTCCGAAGACCAAAAGGCATGCGCAGGAATTCAAACAGGCCAAAAGGAGTAATAATGGCTGTTTTCGCGATATCTTCTGCTGCCATAGGTATCTGGTTGTACGCTTTGACTAAGTCGATTTTCGAGAAAATGTTCATGCCGCATAAGGTTGCGGTCAAGTCGTAAACGTGGGGTATAGGGTAGCAGTCCGGAGTTGTTTTGGCGTTAAGCCTTCGGTAATCACCGGTCGGACGCCAGTCGTTGCTATCCTTTTTGGGCACCATGTGCAATGGCGATGCCCAAGGACTGTTCGACGGTCTGATAATGCCCAGTTCCAGCATATGGTCGAATTCATTTTTCGCCGTTTGCAGCTTATCGGGGGCTAAACGGCGAGCTTTGGATGCCACAGGTGGACCTGTGGTTGTGACGTGATGCATAACATTGCTGGTTATGCACGGAAGAGTGTGTTTCGGTTGTTGTAACTCTGGATATTTCTCCAGAACTGCCTGGTAGGACGCGTCGTCTGATTGTTTAGTCCTAACGATGGCTAAACTCGGACCTACATAGGTGGTGCCGCCAATAGATAACTTTGTGTTGTTATCTATCAGTCGTCGACGGCGAGCATCTACGAGTAGATCGTAATGGTTCAGCAAATCTATGCCAATGATAGGCATAGAGACGTCTGCCAGGAGGAAAATCCAGTGAATAGGTTTGCGTAAACCTAAGTTGAGGTAGGCATACCGTCTCCCGAATGTCGCGATTGCCTTGCCGTTGGCTGCTTGAAGATTGAAGGATGGGTCGAGATGACGCTCCTTTGTCGTTGCTGGAAGAACGCTAACTTCTGCGCCGGTGTCGACGAGGTAGCGGACTTTCGTTTTAATGTCGGTGACGTAGAGCAAACGGCTTTTTCCGCCGGCTACGGTTGCCGTGAGCACGTGCCGGCGTGACCGTTTCCCGAGTTCGTGTCCTTCTTAAAACGGCATGGTTTACGACATTTTCTGGCTTCATCCCCGTAAGTGTTATGAAACCAGCACCATTCAGGGTTTTCCACCCTGTTGGGTTTCGTTTTAGGGCTACCACGCGACTTGCTGCGATGCGCCAAGGTGCGTTTCTGTGAAGTGCTACGTGATCTAGGACTTCGAGATCGTAGCAACCGTTTCACAGAGTTGCACAACTTGGTCACCTCCGAATCCTGGCGCTCTGTTTTGTCACAGATAGAATATACGTTGGAGACGGGTCTGCTGGATATCTCCAGTATTTTATCTGCTGAAGCTGCCAGGTCGTCGAGTGGGACTGACTGGAGTGTCACCAACACGGTTTGCACCGGTTGTGGTAGTTTCGAGAGAAATAGTTCTCGGAAGAAACCATCGTCAAATGTTCGTGCACCGATTACTTCTCGCATGCGTGCGAGGACTTCAGTAGCTGAGTGGCTGCCTAGCTCGATGTTACGAAGCAATTCGTCTAGACG